AACTGCATAAACTTCGCATATATATGCGGCCACTAATCCCACAACCCAGCCGGCACTCCAATATTAATTGCACATCATGTGTGAATGATATGCAACCCTTCAAATGTGTCAATTAATTGGCAAATATTGGAGTGCCTCAAGGGAGAGTGCCCAAGCGGGCAAGCCACATGCAGCGGGAGGCATGGCAACTTGACAAATCCGACAAATCCGACAGCATGTTTGGTTCGACAAACCCAATGTAGCCCTGAGAAGCCTACATTTAAATGTAGGCCTGAGAGGCCTACATTTCAATGTTGGTATATATGACCAACATGGATTCTGTGGGGATACTGTTTCGGGACCAAACAACGCGCGTGTCCTGTGTTCGGGCTTCTTCCCTAGGCTTCGGGTAGTCTTCCCCCACCCCTCCGCCCCCCCCTGTGTCTGTCTATGTCTGTCTACGTATCTGCATCTGTCTTCGTGTCCGCGAAGACCCCCCCTGCCCCTGCGTGTCTGTCTGTGTCTCTTTGTGTCTGTCTGGGTCTGTCTGCGTCTGTCTTCGTGTCCGCGAAGACCCCTTGCGTGTCTGTCTCTGTCTCTTTGTGTCTGTCTGTGTCTGTCTGTGTCTGTCTACGTATCTGCGTCTTTCTTCGTGTCCCCCCCCCCGCGCGTCTGTCTGTGTATTTGTGTCTGTCTGGCTCTGTCTGCGTCTGCCTGCGCATCTGCGTCTGTCTTCGTGTCCGCGAAGACCCTCCCCCCCCGCTGCGTGTCTGTCTGCGTGTCTTTGTGTCTGTCTGTGTCTGTCTACATATCGCGTGCTTTCTCTCGTCCCGGGCCGAAATTCTAAGGTGTGTGGGGGCGGCGGAACCAGGCCGCAGGCCATTAAATAGTATATTCTGAATTATGACTAGCATGTTTAACTAGTGAATGAAAACATCTAGTAAAATAGGAACATGTAAACAGTATAAGTCTAGCTTTGCAGAGCCGAAACACTAGGACCGGTACCCTGGCCGCCTTGCACAAGCTATCTGGCCTCGACCACAGGCGAGCTGCGGGTATTGAACAGCACGAAGACCTCAAAGCAGAGGACAGGATCATCCCCAGCTCAGTTGCCCGAAGGACCCAAAGAACACTTGGGATAGATCTGGAAACCAAATATGGAGGGCATCAAAAACCTGGAGAGACATGGGTGGTTCCCAAAGTGGGGTGATAATCCCAGCAAACACGCGGGGTTGGTAGTCTTCTCTCGCTTGCTAAAAGGACTGAGGAATTGGCGACCATAATTAAGCATTAAACCAGCATGGGAAACCAACAGGTCGTTAAGCCGACTCTTTCTTGTACTACTCCATGGAATCGCAACCCTTGGCAAATGACCCATAGTCCGAAGTAGCAAAGTTGCATCAGTCATTTCCTGGGCGTCGTCCCAGGGTGTATAAACTTTGGCCGTGTTGCCGAGCAGGGGGATATGGTCTCAACGCATGAAGGGAGGGCACATGTCCAAAAAACATGCAATCCGAGTTTGCCTCGTCGTGATGCCATCCAAATTCCCCACGTTGTGCTCGCCATACTGTGTCTCTCAGCCACCTAATCTGTTCTTCGAAGCTCGCCTTTCCTTACCAACCTGACACCAATGTGGAACGCCCAAGTCATCGTTGCCAGGCCCGCAAAAGTCAAACAGCTCTGGTACCCAAATGGTTACTACATGGACACCGGAAAATTGAGAAGTCTAGTTGGCATTGTGTGAAAATGAGCGCGCATGTGTCCCCAATGCCCTGCCAAATGAGCCACCGACTAGAGCAATGCTTGACCGAACCTCATGGATGCGTTTCCGACTGACTGTTAGCAATTTTTGGGAACGCCATTCGCATGTCCGCCGACCCTCTACGCACCTTCCCGTTGACATTTGCTTAAGCCCTGCTTCTCTGATTTGCCATTTGTATCGGGTACCCATTCACGAACCTGAAGTAAGTGGCCGCCAGGACAGGAACCTTGAAACCCAAACCAGTCGCACCCTGAATCTCTTGTGAGGTAGCTATGTACAGTATTTGGACAAGTTAAATACCAAGACATCCGAGGGGCCCTTCATCATGAGTATCAGTTCACCCCCGGGTAGCCGCTAAGCTTCTTTATAGTTTGCCGAAGCAGCAGGCAACATTTTGGTCGTGGCTCGTCACAAGCGTCAGGGTTGGCCTTTAGCCATGCCGGTGCCTTGGCAGCAGCATCCCTGATCGCAGGGATATGGCCGGCAGCATGCACATGTTCCACAAGGGCCGCGGTTTCTTGGTGGAAGTTCATGATGGCGACTTTTCCGCTACGAGAACCAGGGCCTCAAACCCCCAAACCACCAATGCAAAACGCCAACTAGGGCTAACCTGAATTCAGGGGCTTCAAAAACAAACACCAGCTACTATCCATATCTACCACTCATTGGTTTCACTGGAAATGAATGATGATGATTTGGCCACCGGAATCTACCGAACCTGCTCTGCTCCATTCCAGGTTCCACGGGTGGCACAAAGCTGGGTCCAACTGCCTGCAATCTGGTTGAGGTGACCCATGTAGTGGCTGAGACAGAGCAAGCTGCTTGGGCATTGGGCTGTCCCATTCTGAATGGGATGCGCCGAGTGCTAGTTGTTGGGCCTCTAAAGGCCAGCGAAATCTCGCCGAATTTCTGCCTCGACCTGCTGAGAAGCATGCACTGACATCCCCACTTGCGTGGGGAAGCACCTGACTAGTTACATACAGATTGCATTGCATTTGGGCACATAGGTACTATTCGCAAAACCTGACATGAAATCCCCGTCACGTCTTCTAATACCCGCTGAATGAATTGTGTTTTGTCCGCCCAGGTTTCTAGTTACACTCAGGTTCTCGCTTGCCCACACGACCTGAAAACAAAAAAGCTTGTGGAAAAACCAAAAGCCGAAAAGGTTGGCTTGTGACGGTTGCGTCATTACAAGGCACCATGCTTCCTGGTGCCTCATGCTCCCCGGTCTCCGGACGGATGGGCACCCAGGATGAACACCCTCCCACCAGCAAACATGGAAGGATCCGTTCGAAAGAAAAGCTTGATCATCCAGAAATGCTCCATGTTTAGAAGGGAATCTTCAAGTTCTGTTTATGTACCAGGTACATCTCAGGAAGTGAGCTTTACAGTGCCCCCATGTTCAAAAGCTGCACGCCCTGTGTAAAGGCCAGCCCGCTTGAATGCCCTGTAACTGTAGAACCCGCTTTATGGGCCAAAGAATCTTTGGGGCTGGCATGGGATCCTCCGACCAGCTGAGCCTAGAATGGAAATGGTTCACCAACCGAGGGAGCCCCTGAGAAACAGAGGTGACTGGGTGAGGCTGTAAACCAAAGAACGCAAAGTGAGGTCGAGATCCTTGTCCAAATAGTTGAACAATGGTCAACATACAGCGCGGGCAAACTATGCTAGAAACCATACGAGCCGAGACTTGGTGGCAACAAACAATTTAACGTGGGGAACCTGAACAGGCAGGGGCGGGCAAATTCATGTTTTGGTGTTTCTGCAATGCTTGTCAAAGCCAGAAACCTGAAATCGTGAGGTCGCTTCTGGTCGCTTTGGCCACGAATCGGTGAGCCCTTAGCCAAGACGGGGTCAAGCTGTTCGGGCCGCTCTCAGGGTCTGCCGGCCCGAGAGGAGCTACGTCCTGCGCGAATGCGAGCATCGAGCAGATTTCCTGCACCGCGATTGGTGTATTGACAGGTGTTTGGTGGACATGTCTTTCTTTGTTTGATTGATCGTTTGTTTATGGTAGGTTGGTGGGTTCGTGGGTTGGTAGGTTGGTAGGTTGGTAGGTTGGTAGGTTGGCTGGTTGGTTGATTTGCTGGCTGGCTGGTTGGTGTTGAGGGCGAAAGATCATAACAATGTTTTTAGGCATCAAACAAAAACTTATTCCTGACGACCAAGAAAAACTTATTAGGGATCAACAAGAATTCTTCTCTTAGATTTCCTATTAAAGTGAAAACTCAGAGGATAAAAAAAAACTGGGATCAACAAAGACTTCTTCATTTCGTGGCACGCGCAGCAGCAAAGGGTGCGTTAATCCCTGTAAAGATTCCACAAATCAGCGGGGGGGTTGGGCCCCCACGATGTTCGAAGAAGTGATGATTCAACAAAGGGTGCATTAATCTCTGTAAACATTCTACAAATCAGCGGGGGGGTTGGCGGGGCGGAAGCCCCCCCCCGTGATGATCGAAGAAGTGATGATTCAACAAAGGGTGCATGTGCCGATTCCCGAAACCGATATTGAGAACCTCTCAAAATGTTTCAGATATCCATCCTTTACTTCCTTTCTTTTTTCCTTCCTTCCTTCCTTTCCTCCTGGAATTTATTCCTTGCTTCCCTCCCTCCTTCCTTTCTTGATTCCTTTCTCTTTCTTTCCTTCCTTCTGTCCTTCTCCCCACAGGAACGACGAAGAAGCTGTTTTTTGATCCCTAATAAGTTGTTAATAAGACTTTTGTTGATGCCTATCCCTCGGTGTTGGTTGGTCGGGTAGTTTACGCTGGTTTTTGGTTTGCTTTCTGTGCGCTAGTGTTGCGTGTTTGTTTTTGTTCATGCGGATTATCTTACTCTCTCTCAAATAGCTTTCTCTGCATTCGGGTTCGGTGCATTCTCGCTTGATTCATCCACTGGATTCAGGAATCCTTGAGTAGGCTTTCATCTTGAGGCCCAAGCTCGCTTAACCTCGGTGAGCTCACTGCAAGCCATAGAAGGAACGGCGAAAGTCACCATGAAAGGCCGGCCAAGCACTCATTTCAATAGATGGAGCCTAAGGATCGGACTCTTCAAAGGGCCTTGACCAAAACTAACATGCTCGAAACGTGTTCGTGTGTGAGGTGTGTGGTGTACCCGCTTCACCCTGGTTTAAGCAGAACCCCCCCCCAAAAAAAAACACCAACAACACCCATCTGTGGGCTTCCCCTAGTTTAATCTCACACCCACATGGGGCGGTTCCCCTGGGCGTAGATCGCGACAATGCCTGGCGAGCGGTCTTCTTTCTGGCCCGCTCCGCATATCACCAGGCGCCCAGTCACACCCAGCCTTGCCAGCCAGCAAACATCCTGGCACTCTCTTGGCACGTGACGACCAAACATACGACGGCATCACGCAGGGAAAAACAAAGAAGGGCCCAGGAAGTTATGACATCTTTGGAGTTTTGGCTCAATTGGGGGGGGGTCAGACCCCCAAAGGGGCGACGGTTTGACAGAGACGACGCCTCTCCTGCTGAGGTTCGCAGGGTCGATGGCCTCATGGATGAGGCGCCCCACGTGCGCCGGGACCCCCAGCACGTCGTCAGTGCCCTCACCCAACCTCAGAACGGAGCCCACGAGCGGTACCCGGATCCGGGCAGAGATCCCAAAGCTTTCAGTTGTCGTCGAGCGATGACAATGGAACGAAAGTGGTTTCCATTTTGGTGGTCCTCTTTGGAGGAAAGCAACGGGTTGGGTTTACTCAAACAAATCGTTCAAGCGTCCTCTTGCGGCTCATGGAGGTCTGACCTGTTTGAGTTCTCCGCCAATGGGCAAAACTCAATTTCAATCACCAGTGTGGAATACGGCCTTTTCCCAAAGTCGCCCCCCCGCAGCCGTTGCCGCCGAGAAAAGCACTATTGTCCATATGTAGCGAACCTTAAAATTTGGAATGCCAAACCGTCTCAAAACAGGAAGCCCCAAACCAGCATGAAAATTCTGGGTCCATGTTAATGGGAGGGCAAGGTAAAGGTGAGGAAACACCAAAGAGGCAAAAGTGGAAACAGGTTCCGGCCAAAGACTGGCAATGGAAAGCGGACGACGAGGGCTCCCCTTTTTGAACATTATGTGCCCACCAAGGCAAACAAACTTGTCGGAAGCCGACAAGCTAACTCTGCGTTTGACACGAAAAAGAAAGGAACGCCAAGAAAATAAAAGAAAAAAGACTACTCAACACCAACAGGACAACCCACAGGAATTTCAGAAGGACAACTCAAAGGAGCGTCAAAAGGACAACTTGACATGATTAGACTTAGGCCCAGTTATAGAATGTATATTATGTTGTTTGCTTCCCTTTGAGTCACTGGTAAAATGTAAGATGTAGCTTCAGCCTACCCCAGTTGAATTCGGGGAAAACCAAAACGAAGAGTCGGAAACCCGTAAAGTCTGGCCATGGAACTTGGCCTTCACCTCCACCACCGCTCGCTTCGCCATCTCGTTCCCCTCTGCCTCCTTGGGTCCCAAAAACCGAGACGGCCGCGGCGCGGATGTTCTTACACCCTGGAAGTATTCCAAATGAGCCAAAATGACCAAAGTAACTGGACATAGAATTGCCCAAAACCCTCCCAAATGAACCAAAATAACATCGCCTAGAATAGGGTGACTTTTCAGAGGGCGTAACTGGGCCTCAAATTTTGTCAACGTGACCCTTGGGGGCTTGGGCGAGACGACAAAAAGCCACCGTGTTTCGGAAAATCCGAAACGACATCGAGAGGGCAGAACTTCGGTTCAAGCCAGTAAACACGCTCACAACCCTTCGGTGGCAACCTGTGGCCTCCCTACCAGTGGCAGCCTAAATGGCACATGGAGAACGAGGGACAAGGCAAAAGGGATAGACCAAAGTCTGGCGAGTAACTTGCCTGCCCAAAGGAACTGGACAAGGAACAGCCCTCACCCTTTTGGACCTTGACTCATTTTTACTCAGATGGGCGAAGCGGGACGTTTGAAAATCCGGCTCGGACACCTGAGCCCATCCCAGTAAGGCATCATGACGTGACACCCGTACCCTACCGGCTTCGGGGATTATCCGCAGAAGATTGCCCGCGGCAAGCTTGTTATAGTTCGTGCAGATGCACCATTCAACTTGTACCGAACAAAGTGGACAATATTGGGGTTATCTAAATTGTTCAAAATGGGGTGATCGCTAATCCTATCGCGTAACCAATGATGCGACATCGCATTGACAAGGGCACACTAGCTGATCCAAAGATGGGAAGGGCATGGGGAGCGGCCATTTGACTTCCCATACTGATTGAGAGCCATGACATTGAGTGACAATGCGCAACTTTGCGGGCATTGAGGACCATTCAGGATCATGATACTTTTTTGCTATGAACTTTGCGACCTGCACTTGTTGGTTGACATAAGTCCCCACCCAAATGATGGCCACGTGAGGATCCCCAATTAACATTCACAGCCCCATGGTTCCCCATGCTCTGAATCAATATTGGACTCGTGACAAAGAAACATCCAAACGCGCTTTTGTGCGCGCACTGCCGCCCAGCGGCCGTCACAACTCCTGCGAGGGCTATGGTGGGGCCCCCTGATCCCTGTTGCGAGGGTGGCAAAAGTAACCCAAAGCAGCCAGTCGGCAAAATGCCATGTTTTGTTCCAGGGTTCTTCTCATTTCCCCCCCAACGTCACCCAACCAAAAACAAGCTCAGAGTACATTCGGCCACCAAAGGTCATGCTTAAAACCACCCTAAGAACACATTTGGGACCCAATTCCAAGGATTGATGTTGGCATCGGGCCGAATCGTTGCGGTATCAAAGTGGTTCTGCATCCCTGCTGAACACCATGGAGCACGGGAAATGGCAACCTAAAACCAACTTGTGGACCAAGGGGCGCGCGTTAAATCCGTTGAGAATTAGAGGTCCCTTGTGAGGTCGCGATGCTTTCCCCAGAGCTGTGTCCAATACTGTGACATCCGCAAATAATAATTGTATGAAGGTGAAGTTCGTGAAATGAGCTAAAAGGCAGCTTCATGGAGCCACCATTCTAGGTCCACCAGCTCAACGGCTCTGGCAAACGCGGTGCGTAGCTGCCATGGTCTCGCTTCCATGTTGGTCATTCAACTCCCAAGACCCGTTTTTGTTGGCTTATTTGGGGGAACGGCTTACCATCATTCGACTGAAGGGCAAAAATGTAGGATGGTACCAAACGTTGGCCTGGAAGGCTTACCTTCTTGACTTTCCGGGTTGATCATTGGGCGCGCTCGATCGTGTTTTCTTGGTTGCCTTGATCAATCTCTTTTGCGTTTTGGTGAGTTCCGTGTCTTGGAACTTTTTCTGCGCTGGCGTTTTCCAGACTTCCCCCCAAATTCTCTTCAGCGGGCTCCAGCCGGGCGGCCAAAACAAAATTATCTTGGGGAATCTGAGGCGGTCCCCGAATTGACCCAAAGGACAAGGGGACATGCGCGAGCTGGTCAGTTCACTGAACCACCAAGTCGAACCCCAATTGACCACAAACCAGATACAGCCCAGACTGGGCTTTCTTGACTCGCAGAACATGGCTGTGGCTCAAAAAAAACGGTACCAAAATGGAACCCTGGTAAGTGGAAACCTGGACCAAAACCTGCGGTTTGCCCCCTCCTGATTCATTTTGAGCCACACCCACATATGTCCACAGCGTGGGACACACTGGAGTGAGTCCGCTGCTTGTGGACAAATCCAGCGAGCCCACCAGATCGAACTCCGAAAATTCACCTTCAGATACCTTCGTCGAACTTCTGATGTGCACCAACTCACTTGGCGAGTGACCAGCCCCCAAAAAAATGTCACTTTTTGGACCACCACTAGAATAAAGGGAGAGCCACCAAGAAAAAATGTGTAAAGTGTGTCCACTGGCTGTGAGGCAAAACCGCTTCGGCGCTTCTCCTGGAACGTCCTGGTTGTCTCTGCGTGGCTTGGCCGGGGTCAAGGACCAGAAGTACAGGGGGTCGTGCACAAAGACCTCCACCACCTCGCTGCAACGGGGCGTGGCAAATCGTGGGGTCAACCTGGGTGCATTGTTTTTTTTGTTTTAAGCGACGTCCTCAAAATGACCCGCAATATGAGTTGTTGTGCCAGAATAAAGCCACGGGAAAAACCTCCGAACGCCATTTTGAGAAACCCTGGTACTGTTCACTCTGATGGACTTAGATCAAGCGCGTCACATCCGAAAGATCCGGGTTGCTTCCTGGCAAGTCATCCTAAAGTCTTTAATCCCTTGCTCCCCCGGACTGAGCCACAGAACCAACCGCCAAAAGTTCGACAAGCTGTGTCGCACAAACGAGACATGGGCGAGTGGCAAATAGGGGAACACCCAAAGTTGTGATTTGCTCTTTGGCTTCCTTTGAAACCACGCGGAAAGGGGTATGGAACAAACACCCAAATCCCTGCCTATTCCCTGCTTCTCTGCTTCCAAGCCTTCTGACTCCGACGCTAATCGGCCCAAAAAGAAGGAAACGGGAAACGGTTGCTGGTCGTTGGAAACAAGGATGGACGAAAGAATGGGAGTCAATTCTTTTGTATTCCCTCTTCTGAACATAGTGCGCTTTGCCAGTTCTTCTTGGCCTGAAGCTGCAAGCATGTATTTAACGATGTCTGTGTCCTCCGGTTGCTTTTGCTGAGGGGGCGAGGGCTGACAGTGTCACCGACCCTCGAACCCCGGATTCTTGCTTGACCCAGCTGTCCAACAACCTGGTAGAACAATGGCGCCCTTTTTGCGGGAGTGGTCGGTTTCAGTGGGGACCCACTACAACAAAAAGGGAAAAAGGGTGCCGCTGAACAACTAGTTCCATGACACAGCTACCCAGCACCCCCTGTCCAATCAAAAGTGGCTTCTGTCTTGCCTGCTGCACACCTGGTATAACAAAGCTGGGAACTGCTTCCTCTCAGGCTCGAGTGCAAGTAGGCCATGCAGTTCAAGGCGCCTGCTAAAAGTTTAACTGTTAGTGGTTTAATGGAAAACCCATTAGTTGGCAAAAAGTTCAAGTCCTAACATCCAAGCAAAATGCATGCAAAGTAAAAGTGGGAAGCTTGTGTTCCCTCGATCCCCGTAAACTCATTCAACGTTGCAAGTTCGTTTTCCCGAGACGCCATGCCCCAAGCTTACGCCACCCTTGGATGCTGGCAGTCATTGAGCTTTTTTATATGGCCATGAGTCAAAATCCAAATCGTGCCCCCAGTGAACATCAATCCCCACTTAAATAGACTAAAATGGGTGGTGCACCTACCCACGGCCATATTGAACCTGCAGAAGGAAATGTGATTTACGCCAGCTGTAAAACAGCTTCTTGCTCACCAACGCCAAGTAGGTGTGCCCTAAGATGCCTTGTTGGCACCGAAGCACACGAAGTAAGACACATGGGCCGGATACCCCCTGGCTTCAATCCAACTTTAGTCGCCAACGATGGCTGAAACAAACTTGTGTGATGCTGACCCCGCAAATAAATAACTTGGACCGCACGCATGACAAGTAACACGCGGGCTTACAACAAAATCAAGCTGTCACTTGTTCTGCACCCGTCCTTTCGTTGTTTAACAAGTACTTCCCCGTGGATTGGCTAAAACAAGTCCAAACTTGTTCCGGTAGGTGTTTGGAAGCCCAATGTTTGCTCATTTGCTCATTTGCTCGTTGGGCAGTGGGTAACGGTCATCTGCTCGTTTGCGCATCCCTCAAACCCAGCCAATGTTTGCGTAGTGGCCTACAACATCAAGTAAAGGCACCCGGGGAGCGAGTCAAAAGATGTCAAAAGCTACAATCAGTTCTCGCAATGGTGGAACCCCGGATGCTACAGGCATGATGCTTTCCTGCCAGCTGTTCTTTTGAACATCGCCCTTTAGAATGCTAAACATCAACAGACACCAAGAGCCAAAAATGTTTTTTTTGTACATGTCTGTCCGTTTTGGGGAACCCCTCCAAACAAATCTGTGGTTTCCTTTTGGCCCCCCCGGTATATTGTACCGGCCCCCCGTCCCAAAAAGGCCGAACCCGGAGCCCCCAAACCGCCCGAGGCGCCGCGGTGACCAGCGGCGCGGAGGAGCGCAGGACCTCCATGGCCGTCTCCGCGCTCTTCCGGAAGAGGCCGCAGGTGCCCAGGCAGCCGAGGCCTGGCCCCGACGTCGGCCCCGACGACGACGTCGGCGGGCACCGGGTTTTTGGTTCGGCCAGGACGCCCCGGCGCTAAGGCGAGGAAAAGGAACAGACGCAGACGCACCCTGTTCTTGGAAGATGTTTCAAGCGCCGATGGAAATCTGTGGCGTCCAGGTGTTCACAGATTGTGGTACAAAAGTTGGGGGATCTTTTGCAGAGCCTGTGGGATCTGAAGCAAACATTTACAGGAGCACACCCGGGAACGAAAACATATATTCAATTAACTTAAAGCCGCGCCCCTTTGAGCAGGGACTGCAAGCCACTTTGAAGCGCTGGGATATCCATGTAAAAACCGTATTTACATGCAGAGTTAAACAAAAGGGGGTGAATATCTTTACTCACTTGCCCAAAGGACCCAGGCACGCACGATCACTCTCTGAGAAGCGCGACGAAGAATTCAACAAAGCGTTGCGCTTGTCCCCGCTTTTAACTGCCCTCCCTCAACAAATGTGGAAGTGCACAGGCCACTGCGCATGCACCCCAAAGCCACACCAGTTCCTTAATCAATTTCCCTAAATAAAAGGGGAACCGTACAAGGCTTGCTGGGGGTTTTGGTGAGGGCTGGGGCTTTGGGTTGCATACTTAGTATACTCCATTGAGGGAGTACGTATGTGCCCCTGCGGTTTTCCGTGCCCCACCTTTAAATATTGGGGCACCAACCCATGAGCTTTTGTGGGCTCCGACAGAAAAGCATGGCAAGAGTTGTTGCCTGGATCAACCTGCTAAGTTATGATGGCTTTTTTGCTGGGGACAGTTTTTTGGCCCAAAGCTTTCACATTGCGGCGGTCAAACAACCCTGGCACACATGATCCACGACCCGGTTGGAAAAGAAACGTCCACCCTTCAAGGCCGGGAATCACGGGCGAACGTGCACCAGTGGATCCTCGCAAAAAAGAAAGAAAGAAAAAAAACAATTAGGTTCTCCAGTAAAGAGGTTAGAGCAAGGGCACCAACCTTTTTCTGTAGTCCTACAGAAACCCTCCCCCCAATAAGCCCAAATCACATCCCGAACAGCATGCGGTGCTCTTTTTAGTGCTCGCACCCCGCGGCCGCAGAACCTCGTGGAACCCTGGTGGACCGGAGCCTGTCTGGGCGGCCCCAAAGCTTTCAGCTGTTGAACAAAAAAGGGTCAAAGGGGACTACTAGTGGACCTAGACAAGGAGGGGGCATTCCCTCATTTCCACTGAGAAGCTTCGATTACTAGGTTGCCGGCTTTGATTCGGACTTCGTTGCGCCGTGAAGCGCCTGCCACAATGTCCCGGGTGAGTCGGAAGGGGACCAGTTCCGGGATCCGCAAGGCGCGGCCCTTGTCAAAGGCGATGCCAAAGTCGATATGCACCAGCTCTCCTGTCCTCAGTTGCCCCCCCAAAAATATATATATATATGAGTAAATAAATTAAACAAGGCCATGATACATGTGAGTAACCATTTAGTTAGCCCCTCATGGGATTCCAGTTCTCTACCCACTTCCGGAGTGGGTTGCTTGTTTGCCAATAAAATGAACTTCCCAAAAATGCTGGGTGCATCTGGGTGCTGAATAGGGATCTGGGAAGCATGAAACATGATCCATCCCGATTTGGCTTCCTTGAGGAATAGCCCAACAACATATGCTAAATTAACCTTCTCCTTTTCTTGTAAACGCAAACCTACCAACTTCTCTCACCCCAAAGGTTGAATTCTGACCTCCAACCCCATGTTGCTTTGTATTGGGTACCACGCTTGCACAGAACTGAACTGCCAGATCCCCGGCCACGCCACTCTCGGAAGCCTTGACACAGGCAGTCTCTGTGATACCAAAGTGGGCCACAAGTACCCATGACTACTTGTAGAGACTTCCTCTGGTACAGAAAATGGCAACCTAAAACCCCGCCATGGCAACGTGGGAGGGTATCAAGTCCAGAAAGTGAGCAGCGAATGTTGAAATTTCCTTCAGGGTGTGCCTGTTGACCTACTGCGGGAAACAAAGATAACAAAGCGACCCGCACTTAGTTCAACACTCAACACAGGGGGGTTCACCTCAATGCTTAAGCCACGAGGGGTACTAGAATGGGGTTGTGGGGCACTTTCGGACAATTGTAGGAGCAAAATGTGACGAATCTTTCAGCCCCCTCATATTGTCCCCCAATTCCCTTTCAGTCATGTTGACCCAGGATTAATAAACCCGTCCCATGTTTTGGGGGGGTGTTCCCTCCAAAGTGATGAATCCCCACTAAAAGGGGACAAATCAAGCAGGGGTTTGTTAATCCCGGAAACATTCCTCACTTGTTGGGCGGATTGGCCAAACACAGGTTCATACTTTTCGCCTGCCGCTGCATGAACATGGACATCTCCAAAATCACTCCTGAGGGCTCCCTTTTTGGGTAAGAAAAACCACGCGCAGCGCGACGAACCCCACTTCGACACCTACTGAATCCATTTTGGTAAGACATCCTGAAAGTTACCCTTCAAAAGGTGGTTTAAGGGGAGGCAGGCCTCACAGTAGTCCCTGGGAACCCTCGCCATGCAACCACTTCAATGGGTCCAGGGATACTGCGTGCGAGGGGGGTGAGGAGGTGGTCTGGGAAAAATGCAAGAACTTACCCATCCTCTTGGTTCCCCTTTGCGATCCTTTGGGTACGGCAAGAAATCGGCACCAACATGGTGGGGATGAAGGTACATGGGCTTGTCTCAAAATGAGAAGGCCCACGTTTTGTGGGTGGCTTACCCCTTAAAACTCCAAGCCCTGGGGAAGTTAAGCTTTTACAGACATATAGCCCATGTTACCCAACAAGTTGAAAAGTTGTGTTTTTAAGAGGTAAGGTGGTTTCCTCTTGGCTCCCCTCATCGCTGCGTCGCTGCTGGTCCATGAGGATGTTGTTGGGGTGCCGGTCCCCCAAGCCGACGATGTAGCCTGGCCATCCGAGGGCCTCCGATTTCCTTTGGCTCCCTCTTTGGGCGTCCTGCCAAGTCAAGAGACTTTCCTTTGGTGATCCGGTGCTCGTTTGCGGCTTTCCATGTGGTCTTTCCTTTGAGATCCCCGTGTTCCTTTGCTTCGCTTCCGTTGCCTTTCCTTTAAAGTATCCAGGGCGTTAGTGTTCCTTTCGCAGCCCAAAACGGGCTATCCGCATCCCGAACTCAAGGGGTTCTAGGGCACGGCTTGGATCCGATCGCTCTTGTGGATCCACCTTGATAGTCATGACAAGAGTGCCAAAATAGAGCACCAAAAGGAGAAGAACAGGGAGGAACTTACAAAGCAAGCATCCAAGTTGTTGTCTAATTCTAGGGGTTGATCGCCTGGTTGTCCCGCCCAATGCTCTTTGGACAAGCCGAGAAGCAAACTGGGCTTTGGCTATTCGCTGACATGAAGGATTCTGCGACTCTGGCAATCCATCCCCTGGCGGTTTGTTTGAAATCATGGGCTGTTCAGCACCAATCTGAAAGAAAAGCAGGGTTCCAAAGGCGCGAACCCCTTCAATTGGCTAGCCAAACATGGTTTTCATCTGGCAAACTCCAGCGAAACCAAACCCAGTGGAAAAAACCTAGCAACAGAACACCCAACTTTCCCTATCTGGAGTGAGCAAGCCCGGCAAAGGACATCAAAGTCCAGGAGAAAAGTGGCCAGTCTGAGCGGAATCCAACCATTGCGCCTACGATGGAGCTCACTGCCACGGATCGAGCATAGACCTGCCAGAAGATGCGGTGGGTCAGGCTGGGCCCTCTAGCGGTGGTTGGTCGTCTCAGGGAAATCGACATGCTTTTGGGGTGACTTTTTGAGGATGGGAAACTTTATGGAAGAGGGAACCACCCCTCATTCTCTACACGGAGGGGGTGTTTCCGGGAAAACGCATTTCAAATCGTCACGTGCTGTTGTTATGCTAAGGGTTCTGGGTAAGTTTGAAATTAAAGCTTGGGGTCTGAGATAAACTTAACGAACCGCACCGTGTAGGGTCACTTGGACGCCCTGAAAACTTGAAACCTGCTTTAATCAGCCCTAAATCTCAACTTAACGAAGGCTGTAAGTCTGACTAAATCAGCCCTAAACCTCAACTTAATCAGTGCGGAAGTGGTCTGCAGAATATGCAGGCTATTTTGAACCTCGGTTGAGTTGAGGTTCAGTGTAAGTGGTTTTGACCAGGATTGCTCAAGTCCTTGCTTAAACATGTTTGAGCCACTATTGTTTATCCATATTCATATCCATATTCCTTATGGTTCTTGCTTCTTGGTGGGGTCAAGGGGGTCGCTACTTGTGATGACAAACTGGGGCATCCCGATGCCAACATCACTTTAGTTTCGGGATTCTCTTGGTACCTCCACCTCGCCTTCATTTTGCGCCTTGGGTTGGTGGTTTGGAGATTGGGCCCCAGCAAAACCATCTACACAATCTTGGGGCTCAAATCTGCAAACCCCAATCCAAACCAACTAAGCCTCAGCACGGTGATATCACAGAAGGTGGACCCCCGAAAAAACGACTCAGCTGAAAATGACCGCTTCAAACCCATCCCTTATGGTTTCCTTCAGGGGATGACCGCTGGAAACCATTAGCCTATGGGTTTTCCTTCTAAGGGAATCCGCTTCCGGCTCAACACCCCAACCACCCGGACTCGCTCATTCCCATTCCCACGCTGCTCTCTCTTTGGCTGGCCCCTCTCCACCTGGCGGGCTCTGTGCCACTCCTGGGGGCCCGGGAACCGCTCCAGGAGAACCAGGTGCATCACCTCGGAGATTTCTGCTCCGGGCCCTCTCCGACTTGGGGTTGACAAGTTGGCCCGTTTTTCCCAGTGGATTAAGTACCTCAGCAGAAACGCGCACCCACACAAACAAGGCGAAAAAGTGGACATCCAGTTGCTGGTGAGGTGTGTGTGTGTGCGCTTTGCGAACCCCACTGACCTAGAAGTCATGAGGCCCATCCATCTTGACTGAAACACGCAAATAAGATCCCCACCCCGTTAAGGGGGGGACGTCTGAAAATGCAATTTGCATTTCTGGGGTTTGGCACCTAAAAGTGTAAGATTACATTTTCTTCGGGGGAAGTGCCGAATGTAAGATTACATGTTGGACGCGGGTGGACCCATCAGCAAGGTACCTTGCACATAACCAAGTTACAACTTCATGACCTTGCCCCACTTCAAAAGCCCCTGCACATGCGCCACATCTGCCCCTCCAGCATCATCAGCTTGGATTTTGCGACTCCCCCAACTTTTGTTCGGGGAGGGGTGAGAAAAAGTAACTTTCGACGTGCGCAGGTGTCAAGTTACATTTCCCTCCCCCCCGGCCGAAAATACAAATTACATTTCCAGGCGTCCCCCCCCCATTTTCGGGCCCTAAGCGAGGTGGGGATCAAAACAGCAAGCGAGCAAGCAAACAGGCAGGCCAGCAGGCCAACAAAGACTCCAACTGGAACCAAGTTGCGGGCTTGAAGTTGTCATAGACCTCCTGCAGCGCCTTCTCCAGCACTTTGCCCTCCTAAGTCGATATGTCTGTGGCTCAAAAAACCGGTACCAAAATGAAACCCTGGTACGTGGAAACATGGACCAAATCCCGCGTAACCCCTCCTGTTTAATTTTGAGCCACAGCCATATGGTATGGTCCCAAAATCTCGTGGGAACGTCTCCTAGGTCCCTTTCGGGAGTGAAGGGGGGGGAAGTCCTGGTCTACCCGTTTGAAGGCCCCCCGATTTCCTGACTCCCCTCTCCGCATGGCAAAGCGGAGAACCCATTGCGACATTTTGAGGAACGCATTCAAAGCACGAGTGGCTACGTGATGCCCTTGAATGGGGGTGTTTCTCAATACTCCGGACCTCTGGTGTGCAGCTTCATCTTGGACCTTTTCGCAACCAGGTTTCCAATGTTTGAGAAACGTGTATCGGCATGCGTGAACGGTATCTTCAGAAAACCAAGCTGCCAAGAACCGCAACGCGTGTATGGCCTGCCTCTTTTGGGCACGCACCTTGCGTCTGTGACATCCCCCTACCATCAAGACATGAAGGCGACACAAACATCAGCATGGCATGTTCTCCTGAGAGCTCCTTGGAAGCAGGTGCCTGGCCCCCGCTGGGCTACAAGGAGCCACCGCTATGCGGACGCGAGTGTACAAGGGCCGCGTTTTGGCACCCAGCGTGGTCGGTATAGCGACATACCGCCCGCTTGCCATGCAAAAGGCTCCTGATTCTATCTCTGGACTGTCCATTCACAAGGCTGTTTTACACCCTTTCTTCGATGAACAGCCCAACATTGCAATTGCCAATTAGCTTGTACGAACGCATGACGTCGACAGTCCTGCCCTAGATTGATGAAGTGCATCCTGCGCTTGCAGTTTTCCCGCGTTTTGCAAACTTCGTGAAGCGGTTTGCCAGATTTGCCCATCGCTCGTTGTTAATTCAGCAACGCACCAAAATCAAAAGCACCGCTTGGGTTCGGTTTTGCTTACAAACACGTTCTGTCGACGAATCAAAGGGCACCAAGCCTCTTTTGCGGCCACCGAGTTTTGAAGCCACGCCTTGATTCGTTGCGGAAAGCAAAGGTCCCTGGCCCCGAATCGACGAGTTCATCTGTGTCTCCCTCGTTGGCTCTGCCGCGTCGGCCATGCGCTTGCGGCACTGCATGTGGGACCAGTCCCGGGGGCGGTACCTGGGAGCTACCAACGAAGCCCGCAGGTTTCGCTTGCCCTCGTTGTTTTGTTTTTCCCAGCCCCAGTCGTTTACTATCGTTTACTAGCCTGGGTCGGCCGCATCCCAGAATTAGTTGCCTCCCTTGCTGCCTCTTGCACTGATTCGGTCGGACTTGCTTGGGGTTGGTTTCATCGCGGTAGGTGTTGGGCTGGGGTTCAGCTAAGCTCGGCAAAGGGCTGATATCCAGGTTGCAGTTGCGTGGGTGATTTGGGTTTTCCGCCAAACAACGGGTTCGCAACGAACTAGTCGCCAGTTCCATAATGTAAAGTAGGGAGGGGTCGCCCACGAGAGTATCCTTCATGAACAGGGCTCCATGGGCCAAACAGGTTGTGCTTCAATCCAGCAAAAAGGGCAACATAGGGACTTTGATCTATGGCACCAAACTAGACTGACCTTCCCCCTTTCCAAGGGCACCTAGGAACCCTAACGCCACGCCTGGGATGCGCGGACTGCTGGTCGGAGATGAGCACGTCCGCCAGCGTCGCGGTGTTGGCTACCCACTCCGCGATGCCTCGCGCGTGAACTCGTGGGTTCTCCGGCCAATGAACTGATGAGAACCAACGAGCCAACAGAATGAACCAATCATGAGAAATGAACCGATGAACCCAAGGTCAAAGGAAGCCACAAGGGACGAGATCATTCCCTCATCCCCTACTGAGTATCAGCAAGTCAAGGGATGTGTTTGCTCTGGTTCCGGGTCCAAACCTACTAGTCAATGGCACTGGTCAGTTCTACTGTGTCCATTCAAGTGGGAAGTTGTTGATGTTTTTTATGTTTGTTTGTTTTTTTGGGGGGGGTGTCAAATTCAGCTTTGGTGCGTGGGAAGCCCCTTTTAACCACGATTGAAAGTGTAAGTTTGAGGCTGAAGACTAGGGCCCTCCGGGAAAGCAAGGGGGTGCGTTTTCATGGTGCGAGGATGCGCTGCAGGCTCGACCAAAGACACCAAGGAAAGCGGGTAGATCTGTCACCCAGCACTGCAATTTCAGTTAAAATGTCTGTCAGCGATTCCTATCGAGCATGCTTCCCCCACCCCAAGAAAACAAATGGTAGAGACCGCCCTGCTTGCTGGATCCAGCCTTGGGGGGAGCTAAGAGCGCCACACGTGTCCCCAGGGCCAGCCTGCGCATGGCGAGAGTGGCACCACCTGGAAGGTCCGAAGACCCAGCTGGGCGTGCTTGGATTTCGGATTCTCCTGGGCCCAGAGCCACGAGAAAAGAATGTACGGGAAAAATGAGGAAAGTGCAAATCTGCGTTTGGTCTCTTTTTGGCTCAAGTACATCTGATTGGAGTGCTACCAATGAGGCGGCTCGGCCCAAAAAGGTCCAAACGGTGTATTTACCGCTAAAAATTGTCTTCCCAACAAGATAGAAAAGTCCAGGCACTCAGGAAGTGAGCTTTTGTTTGATTTTGAGATTCCGTTCACTGGGCTGCCCCTGCTAAAAGTTTAACTTGTAGTGAATTGAATGGAAACCGCCAGTAAACTCTTGCTAGCTACAAAGCTAAGGGGGTGGCTGGAAGCCGCCAAGGAAACAGCAACCATCGCTACGCCACGTCCTTGAAGACGTCGTTCAGCAGCCGGAAAAGCTGCTGCATCACCGCATCCTGCCTACCGTCAGCCAGCCAAAGTTGGATTGGTCCATGTGGGGTTCGGGAGTCGCGACATTTTACAGCAAGGCGTGAATTCCCCTTGCTTACAAGATCTTACAAGAAACAAAGCCACATGTGCCTGGGCACGTACATGCCAATATACGTGCAAATGACCCCGGACCAGTGAGCTGGTTATACCATCTAAATGATAAAGACACCTGCAAACAACGAGTCTAATCGTTTAGTGTGGGAAAGACAGTAAACCGCCAGCCTTAAAATCCCTTCCCTACATTCTCCTTCCACCGTCCCTAGTGTATTCAGAGGCTTTCCACCCAAAGATTGCACGTTTCAGGGGACACCCCTTTAGTGGCAACGAGAGCGACAAAGAAAGCCAGATAGAGATAGAGAGAGAGATAGAGTATAAGAACTCCAGTTGACTGAGGGGCCGGGATTCAAATACGGTTTCCGACTGGGAAAGCCCCCGCGTGATTTCTTCAGCAAAGAATGGGGGGGGGGGGCACGGGAACCCTGTCAGGGAGCCAAAGAACTAAATCTGTGTCAAACCCCCCTTGGGCACAGATTCTTCCAGCTTGTACCCAGACCGCTCCCGTGGGGCAATGGATGGACATGGGGCATATTGGTATGAGACTCCCATATTCTCAACCTGGGAAACCAAACCAGCGATGCGAGGGGTGCAGGGATGCGGGGGAGGCGACTATGAAGCAGGGAGTATGATCATTGGATCATGGAAATAAGTGGGGAGAACAACAAACAACCTACAAAGCAAAAACCACCACTCATCCCTGCCCTTTCAACATCCCAGCGAATGTGCTTCTGCCAAGCAGGGCAACCCGGAACACCGGATCTGCCAGAAGCACCAACGCTTTCGACCAAATAGGCAGGAGAGCAAATAAGCTCAACTCAAAACCATGCCTCTTCACACGGATGAGATCTAACCCCTGCTGCTCCAGTCACTTCAGACCCCAGCAAGGATGCAATATAAGTTTGTCTCCGCGCAGAGAGCCCCTGGATATGTGTTTGTCTTTGACTTGGCCTTAGCTCAAAGAAAAAGGGGCACCATGCAAGGGCCCGCATTCTTTTAAGCCATCGTTCTTTTCGAAACCGGCCGTTTCCCTGGGTTTCCGGAGGTTTTCTAGAAAGAAGGATGGAAAGAATGAAGGTGGCACTAGAATGATTGTCCTACGGAAGTTGGCGAACACTTTCCGCCAACCACATTCAAAATCATTCGGTCCTGCCTCCCCGGCACTAGGTCTGAGGTGAAACGTGAAACACGCCTTCAAAGAAACAGCCGTAGAGGGTCAGGCTAAGGCCTATGTCGCAAACTGGCCCAAAAAAATCAGGGAGCCCTCAAGATGGCTTTCCTTTGGGTTGGGCACCCCACAAGTCGAACGACCAACCCAGATCCCGCGATTTCGCAGGCCTGAGGTCGTCGTGGCCCTTCACCAGCTGCTTGTGCTCCCGACCCTCAGAGTCCACCACCCGCACCTAAGGCGGACGGGCGGAAAGAGGGTAAGCTGTGAGAACATGCACCCTACCCAGCTAACATGGAAGTGCACACACCCCTGTAGAAAGACTACTTTCCTCTTGGAAAGGGCCTTTTGCACTTCCGTGTAGGTTGGTGGGAGGGTAGTTTGGAACGACAAGAGAGTTACCTTCTGGCTTGAATTTGGGAAAGGGAGTAGCACTCAGAGTCCAAGGGAGGAAACCCACAGCCTCGCCACCCACCAGGAAAGGCTTTCAGATGTTTCTTGGAAGGGATTCTATCAAGCTTTCGGGCGGTCCTACGCAAATGGCGGTGATGTTGAACTCACCAACGAAGGGGAAGCATGCAAACCTCTATGGGAAGGGCGGGTTGGTGTTGGGGGTGGGGGGGTTAATTAGGGGGGAAGACCCCGAACCATAGGTTCTGCCCCATGGCCAAATCTCGGGATTCCCGGGCTGCCATGCTGTGGCAACCCGCCATGCATTACAACGAGTGCCGAGCCGCAATCTTTGGGCAGGACAGGCCCTGCTTGGCGATGCTGAAGGTCTCCTGCCGGCAATTCTCGCGAGTCCGCGGATTCGGGAAGCCTGAGGAACCTTATGGCAGGAGCAATAATCTGGAGGTTCGATACAAAGATTGCTTTCTGCTCCCCTGCTAAAAAAAGTTTTGGTGGTTTAATGAAAACCAATCAGTTGGCAAACAGTTAAAGTCCTAACATTCAACATGCACGAAAGAAATGGAGGCTCGATACAAACAGCTTCGAGGGGGTTGAGAAACAAGGCCCCCTGGTTGTTTAAACATTTTTGAACAATGTGTTAACCTGTTGTGGGGACCCAGTGTTTTCGCCCACAAACCAAGGATACAAACAGTTCCGGGGTTAAACAAAAACAAGGTCCCTTCTTTCCGGCCAACATCTCTCTTCACTGTGATCTTACGTGACCCATGGAACAGCTTCCTTCTAATCGCCAGCTATGGGTCATGTGCACCATTCCTTCCCCCCAAACCGGGGCTCCGAGCTCCGATTCGCACTGGTACTCGGTAGGGAATGAGGGAATGAACCGTTTGGGTTTGGGATTCCCTGCAGGAACCACCAGTTGGGTGGTGTATGGGGGTCATTCCATTTCTCATTCCCCCCCCCCCTCCCCCCCTCCCCCCCTGCCCATCGCAAAGGAACCCATCGACCCAACCCGCTGACTCTTGCTGCCCAAGCAGCCCCGAAGCTGCTGATCTTCGGCATGACGTCGCTGGAGGCCACGGTGGGCACCGGCACGTGGGTGGACTGCAAGACCTGCCCCCAGTCACCTGACCCCCATAGGCGTGCCTTGAGAACAACCCAAGGCTTGGTGCTCAAGGGAAACCAAAAGGACAACCGCCATTCTGAGGGAGGAGGCTCTAACCCTATGTGGTTGTTGGAGGGGACCACCAAAACAAAAGGGTGGGTTTCCTTGCGTTTCCCTTTAAACCTGACCCCAAAAAGAAGGGCTCCAGCCCGGCTCCCAGACTTCCCCCTCCCAAACTTCCCTGGGTTTTGGGGTAACTTTGCAGCGCTCAGTTTCGGCTACATCCTGGGTCGTCTTCTGCCCTTGCCATGTTTAGCCTTTTGATTTGGCGGGGAAACAAACGGCTCCTCTCTGAGGGGCTTCTAGATGGAGCCCCTTTCTCTTTCGCACCCTCCAACGCCCATTGGAAAAAAGCGAGCCCCTGAACATGTTCACTTTAAAGACCTACTCTTTACTGGGCTTCCCTCAGATCCCCCGCTAAAAGTCTAACTTTTAGTTGGTTAAACCACTAAACACACAAGGCTAAAAGGCTAAGGGGATGGCTGGGAGCCACCAAGTTTGAAAGATGTTATGATCAACACACCGTGCTTCCCATCTTCGACGCCAAATTTGCGGGTTCGGGATTCCGAGCCGCGCCTTGCGCACCTCCCGGAAGTGCGGCAAGGAGGTGAGCGGCACCTGAGAGGCAAGCGACAGTCAGAGCAGAACCGGAAATGAGGGGAACACCACTAGGTCCTCCAGTAGAGAGGTTAGAATAAGGGTACCCTTTTTTCTGTCGTCTGTTTTAGTATAAGGGTAAAAGGGAAAATTCGGGGATGTAGACAAGTACCTTCCGGACCTGCCTAGAAACGGGTGGTTGCGAGGGGTGGTGGGGAAGGAAGCGCAAGGAACTTGAAGGAAATCTGAGGAACCCCACCTTGCTTGTACCCTATTTCGCTTAGGGATCTAAGCAAAGAAGCTTCATGGGAGAGCGCGTTTTAGCCTGGGCGAGCGCGTTATAATTCGACCATGCGAGTCATTGCTGAGATCCGCACCCTGGTCGGAGAACGCAGGGGCGTCCCAGAAAGGGACAATGGCAAAAAAGCAGCACGGCCCCCCCCTTTTCCATTCATTCTGGGTCAGCGGTCACGTTCAGCACCTACCCGGTGGATACTGGTCCGGGGGTGTGTTTCTTCAAATGGTCCGGATCCACCCTTACATGGGACACCTCCTGGTACTCAAGCAATTGACGAGGATTTAGATTTTGCCACTCACCGTTGGTCGGCTCAAGTTTGTCACGGGGGTTCCCTCTGGCCGTTTCTACTGGCCTGTCTTCTTAACCAACTCTGATGCCCCCTTTGGGCCCAGGAATGAAAGGTTGACCTTTTGGGGCCATGACTAAAAATCTGAGCTGTCCTCAGATCCCCCGCTCAAAGTTTAACTTTTAGTGGCTAAATGGAAACCCCACTAAACATCAAAAAGGCCTAAAAGCCCTAAAAGGCTGAGGGGATGGCTGGGAGCCACCAAGAAATGGTTGCATATGGTTGCCAAACCGAGCAAACCAAAAGCTCAAAAGGTCGAAACTCCCTTTGGGCTGAGGGTTCCCAGCCCCGAAGATTTCTTCAGCTCTCCGGCCTCCACTTCGCGGTTCCGCTTGTCCACCTTGAAGAGGGCGATGTCCTCGGAACCCGGCCGCAAGGCGCAGGCCGTAAGCTGAGCTCGTTCTCTGAGCTTTGGCTTTGGTTTTGGGTGGGTCGGAGATGACTGTAGGTTGCAAAGTGTCTGTTTGGAACCATTTGAAGAGTACATGCGTGCAAGATTACTTTCGGGTACCATGTTAAGGGCACTTGCGATATGCAATTGTAAGAGCGGCCCAGTTATAAAAATCGATGATCAAGGTGTGCGGCTCAGAGACTTCAATCATGCAAATGTTTGGGTCAAGCCCCTCTTTCAAAAAATGTGGTTTGTCCTCTAGGTCGCAAACAATAAGATTAGCCCTCCAGCCAAACGTACTTGTCTTTGCAGCTACTAGGGCTGATGGTCACGGCCGAACTCCCCAAAAGAACAACATCAAGCTGGCTGGCTTGGCTGGCTGGCTGGCTGGTTGGCTGGCTGGTTGGTTGGTTGGTTTGTTGGCTGGCTGGCCGGTTAGTTGGACACTGAAGTGGAACGAATCCTCACTCCTTGTCACCTGCGCGCGAATCTTTCAGCTCGCATCCCAGTCGTCCATCTCGCCTCTCACGGCTCCCTCCCAACAACTTCTTGCGATATACAGCCACTAAGAAAGCAATGACGACAACTACCTCCAGAATCCTGCAGAGAGGTTCAGGGGGTTCAGTGGGATGTACAGCCACTAAGTCACTAGAAAGCCACCATACAAAGGGTACGTACTCCGTTCTTCTTTAAACAAAAAAAAAAAGATTAGTGGTTAGACTCCCCTTTGCGGGCATGTTCTCGAGTGTGTCAACCAACCCGGATTGTGCGACAGGCCAAGAGGCGAGGTAGAACTTGTTCAGGACCTCCACTGCTTCCAGGACCTTTGGCTTGGTCACCCCAGAGTTTATGTCAGCCGGAGGCAAACATCTATGCCCAGAACGACTTGCTGGTGCTCTGTAGGCAATGACCCAAAGTGTTGGGAATGAATCTGCGGATTCTTTTCAAGGGAAACCACAAGGGATATAATTTATGGGGGTCGTTCCCTCATTCCCTGCTAAGAACCAGCAAGATTTGGCATGGGACAACTAGCGAGCTCCCTGGGTTGCTTGTGGCTGAAACTTTACGTGAGTCCGGCAGCTTGATCATAGCTCCTTCTGTGCGGCCTGACTAGGTGTCATGTGTACCATCCACGACCCATGGTCCCATTTCGAGGTCCACTGCATTCCTACCCCCCTAAAAGTAAATTGATACCACCAGCAAACAAAGGCTGCTATCTTGGGATTCACCGCATCCTGAAGCTGCAATGGTCCTCTCCAGGGCAAAAACCAACCGCAATTCCTGTGTGTTCTTTCTCTCTCTCTCTCTCTCCCCGCTCCTTCTCCCGGTTCTCCCCCTCTTTCTCATCCTCCCACCGAACCCCACCCTCTGCCCACCGAACCCAACTCCCTGCTCACAGACTGAGCCAACCCTTTATTGGTATTTCTCGACGTGCTCATGGCCACTTGTTGTCTCCTCACCCAGTTGCCTATTGCCAAACAGGAGCCTGCAAAACTCCAAACCCACGCCCAATCACCTGGTGCTTTCTTTTAAGAGCTACCCAGTTTTTCCAAAGGACCCAATGGCACTGTTTGCACCTTTTGGCAAATGACTAAACATGGCCCGATTGTCGGGTCGGCTTTCGCTGGCAGTTCTTTCGAGGCGAGAAGCTGAGCGCATGGGGAGCTTCCGAATCTTCTCGATGACCCGGGAGGCAGCCATCAGCTTGGACCGGTCCGCCACGTGCCCGGCGGAGCCCTGCATGTCCCTGAGCCGTCCACGCCCCGTGGCTTCCCGTGGCTGCCGGGCAAAGGGGGGGGAGGTTTGCAACGCACGGGAAAAACGGGATCCATCCCCGCCAAACGCCCCCCTTTTTTTTGGCGCTGCTTTTTTTTGTCGTCTTTTTTTCCTCGGGGTGAGCCCAAACCGAAGCAAAAGGGGGGGGTTTTAAGTAGACCCCCTTTTGCCAAGCAAGCGGGCGTTCTATCCGAGGCGAGGGCTCGGAAAAGGGGAGCGCCAGAACCTTCAGGCTTCTTACGGAAACCTCAGCGAGGGTCCCCACCTGGGCCGGGGGAACCCACCGAACAAAAGGGCAGTTTCCAGAGAGTACCCCCCAAAATCTCGGGGTGGACTCCTGGCTCAAGGACTTGCGCGCTTACAGGCAAGGGTTTAGGCTAGCGCCCAAGGCCTCCGGGCGGCAGAGTCTCTTGGACTCCTGGAGCCCTCAATTGGGCCCCCCGGCTTAGGCACCTGGTCCCCGTTCCGCAGTGAGATCAGCGGCCACATGGCCACCGCCCCCAGCTTCTGCGCCAAGCGCAGCAGGAACTCGTCCAGGGCCTGCTGGAACGGAGCCTCCTGGCACGCTGTGAGAGGCGTCTTGGCCCCACTTCGGGGCTCAACCAGTTCTCGGTTGCGAAATCTGCTCCCCTGCTAAAAGTTTGACTTTTGGTGGTCTAATGGGAACAAAACCATTCGTTGGCAAAAAAATAAAGTCCGCACATCCAAGCAACATGCACCAAAGACTTTTTGGGCCATTCTAAGAGAAGTGAGAAAACCTGGCAGTTGGATGAATGAAGCATCCACAGTAGGAGTTCAACTTGCTTCGGCCTTTACTTTTGCGTGCCTCCAAAGCTGAACAGTTGCATTTGGGCAATGGAGCAATCGTCCTTTCCAAGTTGCCTAGTAACCCCGGTAGAAAAAGGAAAAAATGGTGGTTTCAAGAGGTTCCCTCCAAGAACCCCTCACATGTTTGCATTTTAGGGGAGCCACCCTTTTCCCCTCATTTCTACGGAGGAAAGCACAGGTGATCCGCACCGAAGAAATCCAACACCTATAGTAGTATTAAAAGGGTCCACTCAAAACCTGCAAAGAATTTAGGGGGATCTCCGCACCTATGGCTTCCCCTTGCTAGCCTGTGACTCGCCCGGCTGGTCCTTGGCGGTGTCCAGTCGCGAGGCCAGCTGATAGATAAAGGGCATCACCGGTGGGAGCTGCAGCTTAGGGATGGACTCCCGCACGATCTTCGTGACCTCCGGGACCTCCACGTTGTGATCGAACCTTGCGCGGGGGAACGAGCCGCTTGCCCGCTGTAAAAGAACATTTGGTGGGCAGAAAACGCAAATAGTGCCCCAAAAGGCTAAGGTTTAAAGATCCAACCTTTCTACTCCCCACATTTCCCCCTACACCCCACCAAGAGGACTCGGCCAGTGATGGAAGGGGAAGCCAGGCTCAAGCGACACATTGCGGGCAGCTAACGGTTTGATAGGCCCAGCCAGTTCTACCATGGAAATGCAGGGACCGGAAACCACCCCCAGCAAAAGGTTGCAGGACCCCCTCCTCCAAGCAAAAAAACAAGAATTCTCACCTTTCAGGTTGGAGTTGGGCCACATGGGCCAAGCGTAGGCCACTTTCGGCAATTGGCGCAAAACGCCCATGCCGATGTGGCAAGCAGAGACCATTCTGTCCGTTCATCGTTCTAGTAAAGGCTAATGCAGGGGATGTAATGACGTTACGAGTTAGGATCATTGGTGGGTGTGAGCTTTTTCGAGGTTCCCGGCTTGTGTCAAGGGAAACCAGAAGAACAACCATCATTTGGGGGTTGTCCCATTGGGGGTGTCGTTTGTTGACCAACAAGGAAAACACTGGCTATGTTTTGGGGCTCCCATTGAAATCTTGACACAAAGTGCACCAACATTGGAAACCCAGCAGGTTTTAAAAGGTGGATTCGCTCTGGACAAGTGAGATTTTAGGGGTCGCCCTTTGACACAAACCCTGGCACGTCAACGCTGCGCCAGGGTGCCAGAGCGACAGAAAGCGGCAGGCCACCCGTGTCAGGTTGGAGCCGCTCTCCATGAGGCACCGCCCCAGTTGTCTGACGCAGCCCGTTGCCTGATGCGCCGGAACGCTTCTTGGCCCCCAAAAAGGACGCCCTCTTTCCAATCAAGGAAGTGAACAGGGGGCTTCCTCAAAGGGAAAAAGTCGTCTTCCAAAGCCCTGGCAGCTTGCATGATCGTTGGAGGGAGGGTACACCCAAAAATCAGATAGGACACGTGGAAACCCTTTGAAGCAGCTCGTAAAGGTGGCTAATGAAAAGGCCACATGAAAAACAAAATACCTCAAAAACCACCTGCTTTGCAAAGAGATCCTCCTATGTAAGAAAGCCACTGATGTTTCACCACACACACACCCAAAAGATTTACGATGATAAATCTGGTGGGACCCCTGAAAAGAGACAATCCCCCATCCGCAGCCCCGAGCATGGGCCCACGTTCCGCACAGGAACAGCTGCTTCTTTTTTCTTTTCTTAAACCAAAAGGACGCCCAAGCCCCGGCCAGGCCCATGTTCCGAACCAGAAACCCGCAAACACCACCCACCGCACCACCCTCCTAACCAGCTTCTTGCTTCTGCGTTTTTTCGGGGGTCAAAGGCGCCAGGACCTCGATGCGCTCGGCTTCCTGCTGGGCGGTCTTGCGGTCCTCGTTGGAGCGCTTCTCCAACTTGTTCTTCTCGTCCCTCAGGGTCCTGGTGAAGCTGCCGGCTCCCTTGGGGACCTTGTTTTTTTTGGGGGGAAACCCAGGCAAGAACCCGTATAAGCTAAAAGAAAACAAACACAAACACCCACACACACAGACAGACAGACACGCAGACATACATTTTGGGGTCTTAACCTGCATGTTACTGGGAAGCCCGGAGTAGAAACCCCTGGTCGCAATATGGGTGTCCCCTTGTGCAGGTTCCTTTACCCTGGTTTGTTCGGGGGGGGGGGTGGTTGTCCTATTCTACTGGGGTAAACCACTCTTGGAGTCGGCAGACGAATGGCCTCAGGCTACGGCTGCTGTCTGGATTCACATGCCAAACACCTGCACTTGCATTGCAATATGGCAGACCCTGAAATAAGAGTTGGATTCGCAAGTTAAAGAACAAACTCATGGTGAGCTCGTTTCACGCCTGCATCGGTGAGCTCGCCAACACATAGGCAGATATAAATCTACGCATGCAGATTCCGGGTACGCCTCGGGCCGGTCCACTTGAGAGAGGACCCTTCGCTACATCAATTGATGGTGAATATTGACCGTTGCCCATGTGCGGCATGGTCAGAACTCCTTTTATGGGGTCATCCCTTCTGACGGTTGTCTAACGGCCATGCCGAATACCCTGGCGTCTTTGGGTTTGTCTCAAGGTTGGCTTCCTTCTGGCTTGCCTTTCAACCAACCCAAAAAGGGGACTCTCAAAAAACAGGCACGCTCTTTTGACCATATCACATTCGGGGTGTGCCCCTCAAAACCCGCACCTGGATGCCCCCAAGAAAAAGGCCCTTTTCTGGCTACCTTGTTCGGCCTTGTGGTTAAGTGGATACAATTACAGATATATATATATATATATATATATATATATACCTATACGTGTGTAAACCACCTTGGCTTGGATTTGCAAACCGTTTAGCAAAAGGTGGCCAAGTGTGGTCAAGCGCCGTCTCAAAACAGCTCCGGATATGGGCCGGTCCCTCTATGGGCACGCATGCTAAGGGCTCCAACAACCAATGACTCGCACGGGCACTGGACGGGTTTCAACCGGCTTGAGCAAAGGGTTGCTCCTAAGGGATTCCTATGGGCAAGGCGCACTAAAAAATGAACTCCGGAAACATGTTTCCCTGCAAATGGGCAGGAAGCCATGTGATGTTGACTGACCTCTCCTTGGGGAACGGTGGCATGAGCTCATTCACACGGCGACACCGAGCTCAAGGGAAATGGACAACGACTTGCCGGGCTTACCGTTTATGAGGCCCGGTGGACAATATCCACAAATAAACCGAAGGCTGCGGCAAGGTGCCGATTTCGATGAAAGTAGACGACATGGAGAAAAAAAACACTTGTCGTCGAAGAACCGGCGTTGAAATTCTCGGAACACAAAAACCACAAAGCACCGCTGCACGTTTTCTGCGCGTGTTTCCCCTGGTCACACCACACCATTGCGCGGGATCTGTCCTGAACCGGCTATCCTGCTCTGCGCCTGCGTTCTTCTGCCTTAGCTTGTCAGAACATGACCACATCTGGGCGATGCTGAAACGAACCTCCCATCGAACATCAACGGGACTACATTCTTTTCAGCAAATGGAATAGTTTTGGTTTAAACAAAACCAAACTGCGAAGCAATTGGCTCAGCTCAGTCGGTCCCACCAGCCCAAAATGCCCCACCTCCCCGCGCTAAAGGCCAGGAGGCAGCCGCTCCACCTCCGAGCCGGCGCGTTTCAGGGCCGCCTCCGTCTTGCGCCGGGCCTCCTGGGTCGGGCCCACAGGCCCCGGGGGGTCACGAAGGAAGGAGTCCCAGAAGCTTGGCCCCGGTTTGCTTGAGGGCTTGGGGACCCACTCAACAACCCCATGGGTTTAAAGTTTAAAGTCCAACTCACGAAGGGAGCAATCGCGGTTGAATCCGATCAAGCTCGCGCCTTGGTGTGAAGATGCTGCGCGGATCCCTGACGCAGCACCTGGGCCCCATCCCAACTTTCCCGTTTGCGCCCCATGATTGACAGGCCCCCAACAAAAAAGACCAACCCCTCTCCCCCCACCACAAAAAAAAGACATAACAAAAGCAACAACACAGAATGGCATCCAAAAGGGCCCTATTCACCCATACTAGGCCTCATTAGTCGTCATTAACCCCTATCCTTGTGTGGAGGTGCTTGACAACCGTGGGAAGAAGCGTTGCTCGCGGTATTAAATGCGTTATCCTTCATGCGCAATTGCTATTTTCCTCCCAGCCTAAAAACATATTGAGTGCATACATCTGGGCAAGCTACCATAACTCCCCAACTGGAAATACCGCAAGCCAAAATATTCGTTAAAATGTTGGTCCATACATGATTTGAAGCGTATAAGGAATTTCAAGAGGTCCCAAGTTTCGTGCACAGACTCCGTCGGAGGTCTGCTGACAAATCGCAATGCCGACTCCAGGATCCCCACATGAGGGTTTGTCCCGTAGGTTGTCTTTCAAACCACCAAAATGGCATGCCTTTCGGCACATGGCGGACATGAGCACACATTAATGGGAAAGGCCGCCGTAGATTGGAGTGACAAATTGGGAGCAAAGGACATCCACCGGGTCCTGTTTCAAGGGACCAACGTGAACATGACGGTCTCAAAAGAAAGGCGCTAGTCACGTGGGCGGCAGTTGCCTTGGGCATCCAAAAGCAAAGTGCAATCATCATATGAAAGCCGTTCCCAATCACCGGCCGATTTGCTCTTTCGCTCCTTAAACACATGCGCAAATCACCTCAAATGATTGCTCTCGTAGAACCGGCCAGGTCGGGATTTATATCAACCCGAGCCTGAGAAAATTGGTTTAGCTTTGGCCAAACATTGTTGCCAAAACCAAAAGGTCGACTCCAACACATCGGATGTCACATGCAGCGTCTGCAGCAACTGGCCCGTCCCCGTTGGGGTTCCTCGGCCCATGGAACAACTCTTACTCAAAGCAGCCCGCGAAACGAGCAGGGATGCTGCAAAGGGTGTCACTGAACGATTGGGCCATCAAATATCATCAAAGGATTCCTGAAACTTGTGCAGTCTGGAGAGGGGCAGCAAGCAACAAAGCCTGCCAAATCCTTCCCATCCTGCTCAGCCCGTCTCTTCGGAAAGAAACGGCTGAGACACCCAAGTAAGGAGCTTCATCGTGGGGGGTTGAAGAAAATGGGTAATCAATCACTAAGCCAACGCCTCTCAACATAGAAGCTCGCCACTTGTCCTTCGCCTGTACTTTAGCATCCCAAGAATCAACAAGTTGTTTTCCCCTCAAACGGGCTAATTAGCCTCCAGCCAAGTGCGCTTTGGATGGCTTCAACTGGAACCTAAAAGGAAACCAACCACCACCCCCAGATGCCAGGAGCAACGACCAACACGCAGCGCCCCAGCCGGCGCGCCTCCTCTGTGAGCCTTCGATCCAGGAACTCCGCGAAGTCCCGGCCCGTGGACGCGTCCAGCACGTTGGCCGGCTCGAAGTACTCCTGGGGCCCCCAAACAAAGCGACGGCCTCTCCGCTTCTGGATCCTGAAAATAGACCGGGCCTGGGAACGGCACCCGGTAACGCTTTTGATGAATACGCATATGCTGCAACTGAGTAACTGTGTATCTGCTCCTGCAGCCCGGCTAGTTGACAAGGTTCCTTATACCCCGGATTGAATGGAAAACACATCCCGAAATCACCTGTTTCACAAGGGGAAGGCTTGCAATTCAATCCGCTGGTAATTGCAATCTTCACGGCCAAAATGCATCAATTGGGCAACCCTGTTAGGGCTTTCCTTCAAATATCAACCCACCAAAAGAGAAAGTCAATTGGCAACCACAAGGTGGTGGCATAGCAACCTCAAAGGGTTGCAAGTCTGGTTGCGCTTGTCACACCCTCCGAGCTGGCTATGCTAACAGCGTCCTTGATAATTGCACTTTACACATCAACCCACAAACGGAGAAAGTCAAATAGAATTGGCACCTCTGACAAATTGGCAACTCTGACAACTGTATCAATCCCGTAAACATGCTCAACTTGTTAGTTGCCCGCAGCAAGGAGTTCCCAAAAGTTGACACGTCAACTCTACGGTGGAAGTTTGAGCTTTGAACCCCAAGGCGGTCTGTCAAGAGCAGCTTTGAAATGGCTGTTATTTTTTGCGAGGAAAGCAGACTCTTCATTTTGGACGGCCTGCCAAATACTTTGCTCACTTCCTGAGTGGATCAGCCAAAAAACTGTTCAAACTTGTTGTTTACCACCAGAGTGGTCCAAACCCAAAAAGTGACTAAAGGTCCCAAACATAATTTGGAGACTCACCATTGCGGGGGCGCTTCCCATATTTAGCTCCCTTCCCGTGTGGATCAGCAAAAAAACCTCCAAACCGTTTACACGTTTACAAGGTCCTCCAGTGGAGAGGTTACAACAAGGGTACCCGATTTTTTCTGTAGTCTATTTTAGTAGGGGAACCCTCCCAACCAATGAAAAAAGAAGCGGTAAAAGAAACGGGCACCTAGCTGGGCGACCCAGTCGCGGTTTTCCCGGACCTTCCGAAGCTCAGGGTCCGGTGTCTGACCCGCCTTCTGGATGAGCTCGGGGCCTTCGAGCCTCGACAAGGCCAGCCAGCGCCCGGTGACGCTCAGAACCTCGGGTGCTCGGGGTCCCACCATACCCATCCAACCCGGTGATTCCAGTTACCCAGAATGGCAGGTCCCCTTAAAAAACATTCCAGCTACCGCAAGGGTATGTAACCAACCCAACAAACCACCATGACAATTGAACAACCAAAAGGGACAATGACGAAAGGGTACTTATTATTGTAGGCTCGCCGGGGATCCACTGGGCAATGCTGCCCTCTCTCTCAAACCCCAGCCCAACCAATTCCTGAATTTTCTGCAAAGTCGCTCCATTTGCCTCACTTCCTAAATTGGCCTGAACAAGTCTGATTTTTGTTGGCGTACCACCAAAATGGTCCAAACCCCAGAAGTGAACAACTCAACTCAGGGAGTGAGTGGCTCTGTCTCAACTGCCCCCCCCCCCCCCAGCGGCCCAGCGGCCCCGCCTGCGCCTTCCAGGCATCCGGCGCTCGCTCCGCGCCCGCGCCCCCGCGGCACTCGGCGGCCACGGCCTGGGCGATGCTCAGGGCCTCCTGGGGCTGCTTGAGGTCCCACAGGCAGCAGGCCTCGGCTTTTCGCGACAGCGCCCCAGGAGTTGCTTTCTCTCTGGGATTGTCTTCAGATATCAAAAGGTCCATGCATATGGGCTTGGTGTTTGTTGGTCTAATTTTAGGTATCAGGGCTTAGAAAACGGCAGAAACACACAAGTGAGAGGTGAGTCTGGTTTATGTTCAATTATCAGGTCCAATAATACTGTGAGAACACCCAGGTGAGGTCCAGCTGGGTTGCTTCCTCTTGGCTTGTCTTTGGATATCAGAAGCTCCAATAATACCTTCAGAAACACCCAGATAAGAGGTGAGTCACAACCCATGGCCACCCAAAGCAATGCAAGGACTTTAAAGGGCGGATATCCGCACCTATCTATGGCTGGGACTGGACTACGATTAGTCTACGGCCTTTGGTGTTGCGGCTTTCTGTTGGAACAAGCTACATACAACCTGCACTTTTCAGAAGAAAAACAAAAAACTATCCAGTTGAGTGACCGGGCGAAAAGAGGGGCATGCCTTTTCAAGGAGAGAGGATTAAGGCAGGGCGGGTTCGGGTATGAACTTAAAGTCGTGGTTGGGCCCGAAGGCCCCTTGGCCCTTCTTGCTTACGGGCGCATTTGTGAGAAGCCATCATTTAATTATTGGCGCCCGGAACGGAAGCCGGCCATTCCACACAGTGCTTGGCTGGCTGCTGCTCAAAAACCAGCGGTTTGCTCATGCGCGTATTTTCTCGTTAACAAACAGGAAACAAAGAAGGAGCATTCAAAGGGGCATGGAAAACGGATTGGTGACCTGGTGCCCTTTGGTAAGTTCTTCCACGCCGCGTCTTGGGGCCAGAAAAGCCATCGCTGCCTAAAGGCCGGCCAGTGCTGCAAAAAAAATAGTGTCCGTTTCCTTTTTCTTCGCCCCTAGTTGAATATTCCCGGCAAGTTGAAAGTTGCGTTGTTGGATCCAGTTTGGGAAGCACACAGGTCCTCAAAAGTTGACGAGTTGGCCCCTACGCCTAGAGTTGGGCAAATGATGCGCGACTCCACACATATCTGTGGTTTAGACATCCCTGTAGCTTCATATAGACAACCCCGTGTGTTGGTTTAGACATTCCCCTATGTTGGCTTAGGCATCCCTTATGTTGGTCCAAGCATCCCGTGATCAGTTTGACATCCCCGCTTTCTGGTATAGACATCCCACTACGTTGGTTTAGTCATCCCCTTGTGCTGGTTTTTTACACATCCCTGCTTGTTGGCTCAGGCATCCTCAAAAATCGCCTTATGTTGGACCAGGAATCCCCTTTTGTTCGTTTCGACATGCCTGTTTGCTCGTTTAGACGTTCCCCACAGGGCATTGCGCCACCTACCAGCCCGCCCTAAGAAAGTGAGGTCCCCGCCTGTTCCCAGTGCAGCTTCAGCAGGTCCTGCCTCTGCGGCTTGGCGCTCCTCGAGACAATCTCGTCTGGCTCTCAGCAGGGAATGAAGGAATGGCCCCTAGACAAATTTCGTCCTCCCCTATGGTTTCCTTTAAGGGACCAAGGTTCATTCCCGAAAACCCTGGGCAAAAATACTGCCGGCTTTACAAGTGGCAAATCACTTGCGTGTGCGATGATGGAATGAGCCAAGGTTTCTGAATGAACCGTTTTAGGTTTTTCTGAAAGGAAACCATAGGGCATAGGGGATGGTCTTGTAGGGGTCAGACCCTCATTCAGGGAACAGTGAGGATTTCAACTGGCCAAAGCTGCCTTTAAGGTTTGACAGAAGAAATGCGTTTTGACACCTCCCTGTCCACTTCCATGATTGTTGGAAGGAGGGTAAGGCCCCTGATATTCTGGGAAAAAGGTCTGTCCATTTGCTTCAGGCCGCTGGACAAAATAAACCAATTTCCAGTAGTGATAGATTTCCTTTACAACCAACAAGGGAACAATTTCCAGTAGTGATAGATTTCCTTTACAACCAGCAAGGGAACAATTTCCAGTAGTTATCTCTAAAACCAACAAGGGCATACAAAACAATACTCTTAAGCCAATGGAAGGTGCCACAAGCACCTTCGGCTCCGCGTGCAGCCACGGCTCTTCTTGGCCCGCAGCGCCCGCTCCAGCAGCGTCAAGGCCCGGTGGGGCTGCTGGCTGCGCGCCACCTGTCGGGCACTCAGGTTGCCTCTGTGCTACTAGGCGGGAATTAGGACCCCAGCAAAAAGTCAATATATTTTGCCTGCTTAGTAAAAAACACATGGACCCCACAAAAGGGAAACAACAACACAAGAAGGGGAGCTAATTCTGTGCTAGTGGTGGGTCTGAAAAACATGAACCAAGGGGTGTGACCAACATGGGGGCGGGGACCCTAAAAAATGGCCGTTGTCCTTTGGGTCGGCCTGGCAACCCAGGCAAAAAAAATGAGGATACTCGCAAAACACAGGCATACAAACATATGTGTGCCCTTTGTTGTTCTTTCTAAAACAAAGGGGCACTGTGGACATTTTGGCACCCATCTTTAGACCACACCTGAATCGAGGACTTCCTACGGGCAAGGCGAAACAGAGACGAGGCTCTCTATAACCAAGGGGTCCCATGCTAAGCAAGGCTCTGGACAGTCTGGGCACATGGAAAATACGCATCCCCTGTTGGTGTCCCTTTGGGTGTTAATACATATTATTTTAGCACCCTTCTAAGTACCGAACCTTTGCGGGGTCCCGAAGCACTCGTTCTATGAGCAGCGCGCCCCAAAGTTTCCATTGAGGCCATGGGCCTACCAACATGGCTAATGAATAGGGCATGTCTTAAAAATCGGGGGCCCGAGAAAGGGTACCCACGAAAAGACACGCCCAGTTATCCGAGAAATCTTCATCACGGAGCTCGTAAACAACATCCGTCATAACCCCAGACACCAGGTCCATGTTGGAACCGCATTGCGCAACCCGAAGGGAATCGCACAAAGGAAGCCAACAGGGGACCAAAGCACAAACGCAAGAAAACGATGGAACACCGGGGGAAGCCACGCAAAAGGGAGTCGATAACCCGACCTGCGCCATAGAGGTCAAAAACCGGAGCTCCGGCAGAGCATGCTGTGTGGTGGCCAGGATGGAGGACCTCACACTGAAATCAGTCTGAAACGTCGGAATCCCAACTCCAGCGAGGACCAAACAAAGCAGAAAACAAGACCGAAGCACAAGTCCAAGCCTTCTTTCAGCTTTGCCCTAATTGGTGGTTTGGAGGCTAGCGAATGGTTTCCCATATATCCTCTACAAGAACCAGCTCAAATCCCCCAAACCAATCTAAACCACCAATTAAGCGTTGCCTGATTCTTTGTAGAAACGGTGACCAGTCGCTTTAAGCTTTGAATTCAAGGGCTGATGCGTCCAACCTCCCTTGGAAGGCGAATTGGAGCCAACAAGAAGTCCTTGACGTTTGCTTCAGGCTTTGAGAATCTAAGAAACGTTTCTAGACACCCTTGAGAAACTAGAAAAGTCACAACAAATCCAAACACTTTTTTTTTTAACGCAAACTAACAGAACTAACAACCTCTTTCAGAGTCCTTTTGCCGATCATTTTCAGTAGCTAGCAATCAGCGCCTTTGTTGTGCAAGGGACCTGTCGAAACTTTGAGGAACCTTCTAACCTCTAGCCAAAAGCGACATGAGGCGAAACCCCCTCTGCCCATACTTCGGACCTGTCTGATTAGATCTTCCCGGGTTTCATGAACACCCCAGAGACAGTTGATACGCAAGGCAGCTAGCTACCTGGCCCTCGGTCAGTCCAAAAAAATGCGGTCCTTTATTGTCCCTTTAACCCGTGGCGGGTAGGGCCCAACAAAAACAAACACTCAGTGGAAGTGCCCATATCGAATAGCATCAATGCGGAAGGCCGACTGCAGCGCAAGCAAGGGCTCGATCTTTTGGAAGTGCGTCGCCGCATCCTCCTCGGTTCAGTCTACTGCCCAGGTAAAAGCCTCAAGCAAAGCCTCAAGGCCAGCTATCGGGACAAGGCTGGGAGTCACGTAAATAAACTATGATCAGAGTCAGGGCCAGCCATAGAATGCAATTTTGCTCTACTGTGTGCTTTATTTTGAGTCGCTGGTAAAATATACAATGTATCTTAAGCCGACTAGTTAAAATAAACCTTGCACCACGTGCCGTCATTTATCGTCGGGACTGTCCCCGTAGGTTGAGCTGAAGGGTACTTGGTTACAACCTTCCTTGTTTTCAAGACGTAGGCCAGCCGCGTCTAAAGTAGGATGTCCGCAAAGTTTTGAAAAACACGCCCCCTTCGCTTTCTTCTCCTTTGGGAACGTGAAGCAACTTCTGCTTGCGAGATTTGCAGCACCCAGGTGGCAGACCCTCAAAATAGACCCTCGAAACGGGTGGAATTTGACCTGTTCCTCCCGATTAAAAGCCCCCCCCCCAAAAAAAAAGGGTACCACCACCGCCCCCAGGTGCCAAGCCCCCCGCGTAGGTTTTTTCTGGAAAGGCGCCCGACAGTATTGATTATGCTTCTTTCGGGTGATTCTCAACCACGACTGGGCCTCACTTCCTGCGTGAAATCAGCCAGAAAGAGTCCAAACTCTTTGTTTGCCACTGAAATGGTCTTCCCCAACCGTGACGAAAGTCCGAAACGGAACTCAGAGACTCAGAGTGTGAGGCGTCAAAGGCAAGCGCTGCGCCGCTCCTTCGGCACCTTCTGCCAACTCGCTGCCAGAGTCGCCACCGCGCGGCTCGCGGAAGCGGCCTGAGACATCTTCTGCACGTCCGCCACCAGGGCATCGCAGCACTGGAAGACCGAGCCTACGCGTCACCGCACTCGGGAGTGTCGCTTGTTGGAGGGTACCCCCCTTTTGGTGGTTTCAAAGGCCAACCAAAAAGGAGCATTTACATCCATTTACGGCAAAGTATTGTGTGTCTTTTTGAGGGTACCCGAGGGCACCCTCTTTTTTGTGGTTTGAAAGGGAACCCCCCCCAAAAAAACAACAAAGAAAAAACTGTTTGATGGGATCCGCGAAACAGAAGACACAGCCAACAAGCCCCAAAATGGCTTCGGATTTCCCCTTTTCCCTGTACACCCGAATTACAATCCCTCAATCCCGAACCATGCAGCTACGCGAGGCTTGTTTATGCTTTACTTGGAGCTTGTAAACCCACCAAGGTAGACACAATACAGGCCCATGCTCAAAGACGTGCTGTAATATATTCTTTGCGCGGTCTGTCTGCTCACCGCGCTCTGTGCAAGCTCTTCTGCGCGAGTCGCTGCATGTGCTCCCCGCAAAGGCCGCACAGCAACCACCAAAAGTGTCTCTATGCAAATTTCCGCGTTGCTTGTCCGATGATGATGTCTCTCTGCGCAAGAAGCAAACAAACTTCTGATCAAGACTTCCGTTTCGCTCTGCGCGCAAGCTCTTGGCGACCAGGAGAAATGCGAGACTTTTATTCAGGGTTTGTCTACCCGTTGTCAACCTCTTATTTTGATCCAGGGTCTGCAGTACCACCGTCGGAACTACCTACCGCAGGGGTATTTGGACTCAAATGTACCAAATTAAGCACACAAATGCATACGTACACCCCTCTTAGATGCATTTACACCTGTAGGGTGGCCAAAATCTTTTTTGAAGTTCATGGGGTCATGGCTTCACCCTGGTCCAAGTCCGCCCCTGGTAAGGGACCAAAAGTGAGCTGAGAAGAATCGCACGGGCAAACTCCCACTTCAGTGATCCCGGAGGACGTGTCTTTTAGGCCCATTCCATTTCCAGCATGGATTCCTCAATGTGGAATCCACAGAGCGGACGGCTGGAACAACTGGAACAACTGGATCTGGAACAACTGGAGCACTGGCAAGTCATGTAAGGGTGCAACTTGGGGTCGATCACATGTGTTTTCTTGCTGGTGCCCAGTAGGGAACGTGGGAATGAACCCAGTCCCCTTAAAGGAAACCACCAGTTGGACGGGTTGCTTAATTCTAGGGGTCATTCCATTTCTCACTGCCTATCCCACCAGCAAGCTTTGTCATGCGTCGACTTGCTCCCCAAATGCAGCTTTTGGTGGAAGAGCCTCGGGGCTTGGCCCGGCTTTGGAGCCCAATGATCCAATGATCCAAAGCTGGGTGTGTTGCTGGCTTCCCTTTCATCCAAAAAATGGTCACCAATTTGGGTGTGTCGCTTTTGAGGGTACCCCGATTTTTTGTGGCTTAACAGGGAAGCCAAAAGGACAACCACCAGTTTGGGGGTCCCCTGAAAAGAGACACACCCGTTTCGAAACTTCAACAACGCTGAGCCAGGAGTGAGACGGTCTAATGACACAGAATGGCCACCCCCAGTAAAGCCACACCAATACCCTCCCACCCACAAACATGAAACTCACTAGAAGGTTCTTGGTAGAGAAATCTTGCGAATACCAGGTCCCCGTTAGTTGGTGGGGTAAAGCAGGACAACCTAACATAACTCTCCGAAACATGTTTGTCCAACATCAGCCTTTCTGCGCCAAAGTCGGCCATCCGAAAAGTGCTATACTGTACCACTTTGAATGAAGAATAACAAGTTTCGACAACTATAAGCTGTGGACTCAGCCGTGTCCGTTTGGATGCAGGCCAACATGGGGACCGTGTTGAACGCAGCTGTGGGCCAAAATGGCAAGGCCCAGTTCGAGGTACTTTGAAACGAGCATGAAACATGATCATAAGAGAACCAGGCGTGTGATTATTCAGCCCGTCATGCTTCCATCTGCTTGCGCATTGCTTTGCCCCCCTTGTTTTCCAGTCAGTAGGGAATCTTGTTGCATGCAGCCGAAAAAGGGGGCCTTCCCAAACAGTCGCCGCTTCGTCTCCGTTTGGGCGTGCCCAGGCGCCCAGCATCTGCAGTCGCAGGGCAGCGCTGGTCAGCCCGGCCGCCGCGCCGGAAGCGCCGCTGCCGGCGGCGCTGCCGGTGACCGCAGAGACCAACTTCAGCAGCGGGCGCTCCAAGGCGCCAACGGCCTGGGACATGTCCTTGCTCGCGGCCTGCGAGCAAAAAGGAACACCAAAACAACAACTGTTGGGAGCCATTTTTGTTCAACTAGGTCTTCCAGTAGAGAGGTTAGAATAAGGGATTTAGTAGGGGAAGCCTCCCCCAAAATAGGGTAAACGGGCACTACTAGGGACCTCGTCAAGGTTGAAGAAGGGTGAAGGGCGGAAAACAAATTGGACCATTTGGACATATAAGCCACACAACGCCCGCAGGTGGCACATGGAACCCCCGCACATTGGAGGGCCTGCCTGTTCGTAGGGAAAATACTGCAGCTGGTGGTGATGTTTTTTTGCCGGGCCAAACGTATCCTATGAGCCTTTCTGGGTGGCTAGCCCATTGGTTTGGATCGGGGCTCAAATCCCCTCCCAATCCCCAGGTCCCATCCAAACCTGTGTCTCAGGGTCGCCTGAAAGAGAGGGATTCACCCCCCCCCCCCCGGATAGGATAGCAAAGTCGGTGAAGTGGGGGTACTGCGCCAGTCACTGGCCTTAATCAAGGGTCAAGTAGTTTCCCGTGGAAAGCATGGAGTCAGCCCTGTTGGCAGGGTCAAGGGGGGCCCTATCCGAAAAAGGAGATATTTACATAATCATCCGAACATCTGTGTGCTCAAAGGACTCCGACATGAAGTTGTTAACGGTGAGCCGGGCGATCAACCCCCTTTGAATGTCCATGCATCACTGAATGTTCAGCACCCCGTCCCCCAAAAATAGACGTATTGCCCAAAGCTCGAACGGTGAAGCCTTAATTACATTGTGAAGCTGAAGGGGCTTCTAGCCACTTCGTCTAAACATATTTGCACATCAACCGTCTGGGGGGTGATCTTGAAGAGAACGCGGTCCCAGCCAAGCCCAGTGGCCATGGGATCCTTTTCCAGCAAAATTGCCCATGACATTCTTGAGTTTGCCTTTGTCCCAAAACTCATGAGTGTTCCGCATCAAGCAGCAATGTCTTGATCCAATGTCGTTCTGAGACAAAACTAATTGAATGGAACCCCGTCTTTACAAACAAAAAAACAACACAACACAGGTTGCGGGAAAAAAACAGATCTGAGGCAACTAATTAAATGGACACCCGTCCCAAAAAACAAGTTCAGTAACCATGAAGCAAGCCGAGAGCGGCTTCCTCGCCTCGCTAAGCACCTGATTCGCTGCGTTTGCGCTCGCGCTGACGCCGTCCACTGCCGAGGAGAGCCCCGACAAGGCCTCGGCGAGCAAAATGGCTTAGGGGCCCCATGAGTTGACTCCCGGCGAAACATGGAGCCCCAAAACTTGACAACGGTTTGGATGTGGCTTTTGTGGAATTGGATGTTGTTTTTGTATGTTTTTGTGGGACCCCCCCCTATAGGATCTTGAATGCTAAAAAGAGTACTAAAAAACAAAGAACAGGTGAAATCCACAAAACACCTATCCAAACCGTTTTCCAGAACTTGTGGCCCCGCAAACAGAAATGCGCGCTTTTGGGGCAAAACATGCCAATCTGGAGAGTGGGTTGCTAAGGGATTATTTGCCAAAGGGCACTGCCGGGCGCTTGAAAAACTCAAGCTTGTGCGCTTGCCCATCGGATTGTGATGCACTTGCGATCCCTTGCTCAACTACTCCCTGTAAGGCAGCCAGGTATGCACTGATTCCCATTTATAAATGGACCCCCGACAATAACAACCCTCCAGCCGACCCCAAAATTCCCAATACTAAACAGCGCAGTCTGAACCAGATCTGGCCAAAAACTGGGGGGGAACCCTAATGAAAAAAAAACGATGATTTCTTTTCCGTTTTTTTGTGGGGGGGGAGGGGGGAGGGGGGGACGGTTTATTGTCAAACGAGTCAACAGGTCAGTCTTGTCAAAGCTCTCCCGGCTCACCGCTTCCGAGAAGGAGGAAACTCAACTTGTTGCGGCCGAGCGGGAGGTGAAACAAGGGCGTGCCGGGGAGATGCAAACTTGCCTCTTTCTCTCTTCTCATCTCATTCTATCCGCCAGCACGCCAGAGTTGACGTCTGAGTGTTACTCCTCTTTAGGCAGGTGGTCAATCTTCACGATCAAGCATTGGTACTGCGAGCTGCTATTCCCCGCTGCCTCAGCAGCACCGCTCCGGCACGAGCACAAAATCGTATAGCCCATCTGCTGCCCAAGGTTAGAGTATCCGGACTGTTCGCATCGGAAATCGCAGTCTAGACAAATGTAGACCGTCATACTCCCGGAGGTGCTTCCACTGACGTCGCCAGTCTCTGCGAATTGATCTGATCGCGAAGCTGCCAGAGTCGCGCCTGGGCTTTCCACGCATGTTAAGGTGTCATATCGGGAGACAGTGAAGCTAGGCAGGCTTTTGAACATGCCCCCAAACTTGGTTGCAGCAGTATCCCTGCTACTCCAGTTCCGGTGTGCCTCCGGGAATGTCACAGAAACGCAGTCATCCAAACACGCTAAGCAGTCCGCGAGGGCACCCCGGTTCATTGCCCCGACATACGTCTCGAGCAGGGCCTTTGCAGCTACAGCCGCCATAGCGCTGTGGCACACTCGGAGCGAAGCATGGAAGCTTGAGCCAAGTGTCAAACTGTCTCAAACTCTGGGACCTGATTTTGGATGGAGGAGGAACCGAACTCGGTTGCTTTCTGCTCCCCTGCTAAAAGTTTAACTGTTAGTGGTTTAGTGGAAAACCCATTAGTTGGCAAAAAGTCAAAGTCCCAACAGCCAAGCAAAATGCACCAAAGAGAAGACATCCAAACAACCTCCCGGCAGTCATCGCAACTGGCCAGGTGACGTGTTGCCTCAGCTAAGTAGTTCGGTTTTATTGTGCTTGCTTAGGTATAGCGAAGGGACACAATCAAACAGGGTAAGTGAAGGTAAGCCGGCCATAAATAGCGGTGGAGTTGGGCCCTTTGATTCTTTTCCACGGATTTCGGAACAGAACCCCCAGGTGTTGATTACTGACATGGAAGCGTGGCTTCTTTACTTCAGACGGCGGCCACTTCAGATTCTTCAGCGGCATTTTCAGGGGTTGGGATGCCCAAATCTTGCTTGCTTTGTGCTCCCCTGCCAAAAGTTGTGACCTTTAAGTGGTTTTAATTCGGAAAAACCCCATCAGTTGGGTAGCAAAAAAGTTAAAGTCCTAACCTCCCTTGGCAAAATGCCTCGGAAACTCTTCCGGGCACCCCCCCGCCCAGCCAGCGAAGAAGCGCATCGCTTCGGACCTTCGGGTCCGTCGGGTCATCGGGTCGCTGCGAGTCACAAGGCGCGGGTCTATTCCCGAGGCCGTTTTCCTGCGAGTGACCTTGGGGTGTAAAAAGTAAACACCTTGGTGAAAACGCGGGGGGAATGACCCTGGGGTAGAAAACGTGGGCGCCTTGGTGAAAACGCGGGGGGGAAACCAAAGCACCTAGGGGTGTGAGTGGGCACCTTGGTGAAAACGCGGGGGGAAAGAAACCAAACACAACCAAGCTGACCTCCGGCTGGCGCGGGTGAGAAGCCGTAAGCTGGCGACCACCTGGGTCAAGGGCACCCTTTGCATACGTCACCAACAGGTGCCTTCTTGTGCTTTTAGGAAATAGAAACGCTAGATGTGAGAGTGGACCCCAACCAACTTCAGCCAAGGCGATCACCTTTCAGGTTGCTAGAATATACACATGGTTCCCCAAATTGGGCAAAAGAACCACGGAATCCACCCGACCCGACCCCCAAAACCCAATCTAAACAGTCCAAGTGGCCGTATGCAGCGTGGCGTGAAAGCCCTGGTGCTTGCCCTGGCCGGCGCTCGTGGATCCCTTACCTGTCCCATTATTGGAGGTGTTCCCTCCAAAAGTGGTCTGAATCCCCACTAAAAGCTGACACCCCCCCAATAAAAATCAACCAGGGGTTTATTAATCCGGGGTTGCCATTACTTGGAGCCTTTGCTCATCTTTGCAACCACTTGCACTTGAAGCTGGAAGTAAAAGGTGATCACCTCTTGGAACCTTAACTTATGGAACAAACCTCCGGGAACACGACATGTGTCAAGGTCGGTTCGTTTTGGGCAAGTGAGCTGGACTGGAAAGCTTCACCTGAACTCCCCCGCCAAACTCAAAAAGCAAAGGCCTCGGTTTCATCGAGGCCTAGCACCGGACAGACTCCGATTCGCAGCTGGAAAATGGGTCGGTCTGAGTATTCAGGTTTCATCCATCCAAACTAGTGCCGGATGTCGGCCATCTCCCTGACCATTGGCCGGAAAAAGACAGCAAAACAAACACTCTCAGAACTGCTCTGAGAGCCCGTTCTGAGAAGCTTCCTTTCTGGGCAACCCCTTTGCTTTTCGCTGCGAAGAGCCAGCAAAATAGAAGGATCCCTTGGTTGCCAGGGGTCGTTCAGCCAACTTCCTTTGAGACCTTAAGTGCAAGGAAGACTGAACCACCAATCTCCCCATCATGTTGGCTTTTCTTAAAACGAGGGGCTTGTACTCAACTAGTCAAAGTGCGCAAAACCAATTTTCAGTTCTCTGCTCAAGTGCCCTTTGACCCTTCATGGGGGGCAAAAGGCAAAAAGGCAAAAGCGGCAAAAGGGCAAAAAGAAAGTCGAGTACAACCTGGTCATCTCACTCGTTTCTTGGGGTCGTTTTATTTCCTTTGGGTTCGTTTGGGTTCTTTTGGGTTCCGTTGGGTTCCCTTTCGGTTTCTGCCCCTCCGATGCATCGAAGCTGCGCCGAGGCCCTGCCTCCACTGGGCCCCACTGCCTCATGCGCCACAGCGCCTCGCAGCGCCGCTCCCAGACGTCCTACGGGCGGCTGCCTGCGTGTTGCTTGGAGCCACTGGAGCCATAGGTCCACCGCCGGCTTCCTTTTTTTGGGGGCCTCACCAACAGAAATAGGGATGTGAGACTGGGGTTCCACACCTCAGTCTTGGTTGCCTTTTACCACGGACATGAGACATTTGAGATTGTGACCTATAGTGACCCACGGAATCTTAAAAACAGAAGGGTTCCTACGGTATGCCTCTTGCCGAATCCTTGGGGGCAAGCCTGGCAGGTACAAAGAGGATTGCGGGCGACATGTCTGGCATACCTCGTGGAATCAACTACGCTGACACGAAGGCAACTATATAATTCTTTCCACCACAAACTATCAGTGCCCCTATTTCCCAAGGACGGGCCATGGTAAAAAGAAGCTCGCTCAGCAACCACCGGACTTGGGGATGCCCGCCTAAGCGTTTGCCACGGCACAAACGAGGTCTTCATATTGCAGGCCGATTCTAGAGAGCCTTGACATGCAAGTTGATGTCAATGAGGTCCAATCTGCTTGTGCTGTTTATCCCAAAAAGTCTGTGAGGTGAAGCCACACATTCCCATACAAACAATGATTCAGCAGATTTGGAAAGTAGATCGTGTGGTAGTCTGAAGGGAGACCATGTTAGAAACTAAACCTCCAAATGAATCCAGCCACCCCACCCCACCCCAGCCCACCCCAGCCTCACCCCCACCCCAGCGTCACCCAGTCCTCCCCGCCGCTTCCGGCGGCGGTCTCGGCAGTGAGCGCGTGCCAGCCCAGGTTCGCCAAGGCGTCGTCCAGCTTCTGGCGCGCGGCCAGGGCCTGGCCGCGTACCCGATTTGTTTCTGCAGTCGATTTTAGTAGGGGAACCCTCCCCCCAAAAAAGGGTAAAAGGGCACTACTGGGGGACCTAGGTTTAATTGAGCCCCCTGGAAAACTAGACATAAACCAAGAGTGGCAGATTCCCGTAGAACCAAGGGAAAACAAACAATGTCTAGAAACAAATGGAAGCTTACGCCCTCTCCCTCTGTGAAAAAAGGAGTCAACCCCCTGATTTAAGAGGGATCCTACTCTTTCTTTCTTAGGGCTGGGGTTGGGTCCCTTACATAGCGGGTCCGACTTTGGATGGGTTCTCATTTGATTACTGTTGGGGCCTTTACCTTTCCCTTTAAAACCATCATGAAGGGTTGAACATCCAGGAACACTACACACCCAATCTGGGGTAGCCGACAACAACCTCAAGTTGGAAGTGCCCGTTTGTTACCCTCCAGCGACTCCAGTCTTCCAACACGGCACCAATGAAGGGCGTCACTTGGCAACTCGTCCAAACCACCTTCAGTCAGATTCGTTGGATGTGAGGGCAGTTGGGTCTGACACGTCCTTTCGCTTCCGCTCCGGCCTCGTTGCCCTGCAGTGACTCCAGCAGCTCATTGCGGAGATGGATGCTCAGGAGGTGGTCCTAAGGGCCATACTCGCACTTCGGTTTGGGGAACATCTGGCTGCCATGCCAAGAAGGAATATTCAAATGCTCGCCACCCCCCCCCCCAAAAAAATAAATAAATCAAAATAAATAAATACATAAATAAATAAAATAAAAATGGCCGGCCTTCTGGCAATAACGTCCATTGCTCATACAGCTCGTCTTACCAGCCATACGTAAAACAAGCATAACAATTGCCGGCTTCCTTGCATGTTTGAACATCCGAGAAGGAAGCTGATTTCAGCACGTTTTTGGTTGAGACCTTTGCAAGCGTCCTCGCTGTTGTATTTGATCACCTGCCCAAATATGGCGGAAGCTTATGCTCTTCCATTTGCTCAACACGGCGAAGCAATCAAACCACCATGACCATGTCCCAGAAAATACAAATCTTTATTTTTTAAGGGGTACCCTCAAAAAAAACAAATCCACATGCGACATATGTGCGTGCAACATCAGATGCCTCATTCGCGAATGGATGCCTAGCGATAAAGTTCGATTGTGAAAGGACTGGCTTTGGCATACCTATAGGGTATCGAAAGTACTGTGAATATGCTTGAAGGGCAGCGCACTTGCCCAGCCTCAACACATAAAATAAATCATGTTGGGGGGGAGGGAGGGGGGGCAGGGAAAAGCCCGAATATGCCCTTATTACGCCCTTGATAAGGCCTCATTCAAGGCTTATTTGGGCTCCCTCCCCCTCCCCCCCCCAACAAGCCCCCATAAATGAATGCATCGAAACCTTGACAAACCTGTCATCAAGCCCCGGGCAGTTCTCTCCGTGAGGCAACCGCCAGGTCCTGATCCAACTCCGCCCGCGCGAGGCGGGAGCTGCTGTGACACCACTGGGCGTTGCCGTACAAGAGCTCGTCCTCCGGCAGCTGCCGCGCCAAGTCGTGCAGCAGCCGCACCTCCTGCACGCTTTGCGGTCAACCCAAAATGGGCGGCTCGTCCTTTTTTTTTGGGACGGGGCCCCACACAAATGGCGGTGTGTCATTCGAGTTTCCCTTTAAGCCAAGCCCGAAAAAGGGTACCCATAGGAAAAGACGCACCCAAAAGAGCTCAACCTAATCTAATTAATCTTTGCCTTTGGGCCCAAGCAGTTGAACAGTTGATAGGTTCGGCCCACACAGTATCATACGTCAGAAAAGCTGAACAACTCGTGTTTGGCCCAAACAGTTGAGGATCAGGGTGGAGCCAATGTGAATCTATTCAAAGGGGATCGGGGGTCCATTTGTCGCTGGTCATTCTTGTGTAGCCGCCGCTCCATCCATTCCTTTCCGTACACACAAACGAAAATGTATGGGAAATACTCCGGGGGTGGGGATACCAAAAACCAATGGACACTTTTTCCCCTAGAGAAGTTGACGTGCACTAAACGGAAATGAACGGGGCCCACAATGACGTGGAAGTGAGTGGTCATGTAGCCCAACAGGGTCCACACGTTGTCAACCCGCGCTTGTTTCGTCAGTAGATTGAAAACAAGCTTTCGGGGCCAAGAACTAGTTTACCAGGAATGTCTTTCAAGGCTGCTACCATCGAAGCAAATGGAGACTTGACTGAAACTGCTGGACCGACCGGTTTAGAACTCTAAAGGTTGTAATATAGTAATAAGGTTTTATTGGGACCTGGTTTTGGCGAAACAGAGGGACGGAGACACCGTCCTATGAGTTTGAAGCCGGGGGTCCTTGTGCCAAGTTCCTTGCCGTGTTTGGAAGGTTTACCTGTTTTGCTTTGCTTTGCGGGCAAGTCTGCTTTTCGCAGAACCACGCCCAGCGCCGGACGGGTCCCCCTAGGGTGCCCTCCAAAACTAATATCAAGTGACGGGAGCACAGCTTAATCACAGGCTGTTGTTTGCAAAGCACACCCTAAACTCGGATCAAACAACTCAAACCCATACCAAGAACAGGAAGTAAAGCGATGACTATGTTTCCACTTGAGGACTGGTCTCCATTGGCCTTTCACGGAATGTTGCGATCATTCCTATAAAATCACCCAAGCAGGGAAAACCAAAAGGTGAAAAGCTCGGCTTTGGAACCATTACCCGTCAAAATGCACTAATTAAGCTACCTACCCTGAAAGGCATTGGCAAATCAAACAGCTAAACGTGCTCAACACCAATAACAAAAAAAATCGGATCAACTAGCTAAAAGTGGCTTCGGAACAACACACGCGAACATCGCATGCAAGAACCGTGAAGCATATAATATAATTTCCCAAGTCCAGAGAGCAACATATCACATAAAACATGCAACCAACCAACTAAACAACCAATCATCCAACCAAATATGGTTGCAGAACCAAGCAACCCAGCCCCACCTGCTCTATACAAGTCTTCTTCGAGGGCAGCATCAGTGGCAAAGCAGCGGCAGAAATGTCCCAACGGCAACTCCAAACAGGTGGCAAAGCATGCTGCCAAGCAATGTGTAGCGGCAGCAGGTAGAAAACCAATTCAGCTGGGAAACGGCGGGAGCCGAACCCCCCCCAAAAGAAAAAAAAAGAATACAACACAAAACTAACAACAAACAAAGTCATCACCCCATTTTCCAGATGCTGCGCCCACAATTCTGCCACCCAGCAACCCCCGTGGGTCCAACCTCAAGCAAAGCCTGAATCGGAAAAGACAGCCACACATACGAATAACAGCGATTGAGATCCACTTCATTATCGTACCAACCAGAGGACGGCGTTTCCCTGCAATATGTGTGTGTGTGTGTTCGTGCTTAATCGGAACCATGCCCAACCCAAGCGCCTAACAAACTGACAAAGAAACAAGCACACAACCAACCAACCAATCAAAACAAATTAAAAAAAAAGAAAGAAAGAAAGAACCAAACAAACAAACAAGCAAACAAGCTCTTTCTCAAAATCTACATGCCAATAAAACAGGGCAACAAGCAAAACCGCACAAAGGAACCATCGCCGACTTTCGTCCTGCTGTGGCGCTTGGAACAGGGCCTCGACCCCCGTCACCTTCGCCGTCTGCAGGGATTGGCAGGGCGGCACCTCTGGGTGCGCTCGCTGCAAGTGGAGCTCCAGCAGCAGAAAGGCCTCGAACCGGGTTCCTTCGAAGTCCTCTGGACGGCTCGTCTTTATTGGAGTTGGTACCCTCCCACGCGGTGTGGGTTTTCAGAGGGAAAAACAAAAGGAACACCGCCAGTCGGTCTTTTTCGATTATTTTGTTTGGTGTTTATTGATTTATCTGTTGTGTTTGGGGGGAGGGGTAACAAAAAGACAAACTTGTTTGGTCAAATACCTCGGCGTGCAAAATTACGTGCATTGCTCTCACGCATAGCTTCTTGAGCCGGGTGATCCGAACGAAGATGGCATTTTGGGCCGACGGTTTCTTTCTTCCTGTGCAAGTAAAGGCAGCTCCGTCCAGGTTCCATGGGCACTTCCTAAATGGTCGGTTGCTTTGCTCCTCGTTACCCTTCCAAAACAGTTCGAACAGGGGCCCATCATTTCAGAACAACCCCCAAATGGTCAAACGGGTATGTCTCAAAATAGGTAAACCCAAAACCGGTGGCGCTCCTTTTGTTTCCCCTTTGCACCGGCCTGAAAAAGGGCTCTCTCAAAGAACATGGGGGGGGACTATTATTGTGGTTTCCTTTTCTGGTGTCGTGTTGGTTCCCAAAATGTTCGGTTTTGTTTTGGTTCACAAAAAAATCCAGACCCAAATGCAGAGGCGCGTGCTGCGGGTCATACTTGGCCGCGCACTCCGCTGCAGCACGTAGGTCGAGGGCTGACCAGAATTGGTCCCCCGAGTCTGAGGGGAAGTGTGGCACCGCGCGCTTCTTGCAGGTTGTCCTGGTGAGACGGCTTGAGCTGTGAAGGTTTCCCCACAGCTGCTGAGAGTTCGAGCTCCTGTTGCAAGTCATGACCACAATTTTTCAAAATCCGGAGTCGGCGGTTTTTAGCGGTTCGTTTTTGCGTCCCACCCTACTGGGTCCAAAGTTGGGTTTTGAGGGTGGGAGCCTCTTCTCTGGGCGTTACGGTTTGACCCTCTGGCCACAACAAATCGGAACTTTGGTCGATCAAACAGCTCGTCCGAAAAAGAAACCAAGTGCAGAACCTCAGTAGATCTCCAAAGGGGCAAGCAAAAGGGGAAACTGTCCTCTCATTGGTACCCTTGGGAAGCAACCCAGCAGGCCCAAGGGCCCGGAACCACGTGCCTGATAGCACCGCATTTTGAAAGGAACGCGATGGAAACGCAGGCTGCAACCGGGCAAAAAGGCTAGGCACACGCCTAGCAGCGAAGCAAGCAAAAGGTAAAAACTAGCTAAAACAGAGGAAAGGCAAGCTGAGGCTACAGGAACACATTCCAGAAAGGGCTAGAGCGATTGTCAAAGCAGCTCCATGACGAACAGCAAACAGCTAAACAAATACAAGGATTCATCCAGCTGAGGATCTGGTGCATGCGGATGAGGTGCAGGGCGCGCAGCAAGCACTGAGCCTGGGCTGGGTCTGGCGCGCTCTGCTGGAAGAAGAGGTTCATGTCCTGGCAAAAAAAACTCTTTTAGCACTGCGTGCCTCACCCACCGGGCCAAAAACCCTGCAAATAGAAGTGCAACTGTGCCTTTGCCTTTGGTTGTTGCTGCTCCTCAAGAATTGACAGAAACATGGATTCTAGCTACGCTCCCCGTACTGTTGGGGCAAGGGGGGGCCTCTTGACATATCTAGAGGCTAGTAATATTAGCCGCGCCACCATCTAAAAGCACCCGCTTGTAAAGGGCCCCTACGCGTTTGGAAGACTCCTTATGCTTTGCCCAAAAAAGCAAACCAAAAAGAGCCCTAGATGGATGTTCCTTACCATTCTTCGAAATGGTGATCCCGCCTTCGTTTCGACCCCCGTTCGTTTATGCAAAGCAACCCAACATGCCAGGCAGGCACACACACACACAAACACACACGGACACGCATGGACACGCACAGACTCACACACACAAACACACAGACACACAGACACGGAAACGGACACGGACACGGACACAGACACAGACACGGACAGGCACACGACACGGACACGGACACGGAAATGGACACAGACACAGACACAGACACAGACACAGACACGGACACAGACACAGACACAGACACAGACACAGACACAGACACAGACACAGACGCAGACGCAGACGCAGACGCAGACGCAGACGCAGACGCAGACGCAAACGCAAACACACACACACACACAAACACACACACACACACAATCACACACACACACACACACACACACACACACACACACACACACACACACACACACACACACACACACACACACACACACACACACACACACACACACACACACACACACACACACACACACACACACACACACACACACACACACACACACACACACACACACACACACACACACACACACACACACACACACACACTACACACACACACACACACACACACACACACACACACACACACACACACACACACACACACACACACACACACACACACACACTGCATGCACACGCACACGCATGCACGCACACACGCACACACGCACACACGCACTCACGCACAAACACACACAAACACACACACACACAATCACACACACACACACAAACACACACAAACACACACACACACAAACACAAACACAAAACACAAACACAAACACAAACACACACACACACAAACAAGCACACACACACGGACACAACCACACACAAACTATAGAACAGGTTAAACAACCGGGAAGGGTCACAATTGAACCCTGTACTCAGCGCGCTTTTTCCTTGAGCCACGTGCAGTCGTAATGATGAGACTGCACAAGTGAGACATGCATGCATTGGGGTTTACATGGTTGATAAATACATCACGTTGCAAACTACACCCCCCGTGCCCGAATGTGAAACAGGAGGACAAATGAAAGGGATGAGACAACCAAAGAAACCCGATAGGCATGATGTCATTTTGCAGCACACAAGCACTTGGATTTGAGCGATCGGTAGCTAAGGTCTTCCGCCTCCACTGACCGTCGCTCTCGCGAGGCGTGCTCGTGCACTGTACATTGATCCTCGGCCAACATGATTGAGAAGTATAATGGAAATTGAATTTGAAATGTAAATGGATGTCAGCCGAAGATAGAAAATATTGTCGAAGAGATCGCTCATTCATCGCCAATCCCAATTGCGGGAGCTCTTCCACGGGCGCTGATCATCAGACCACCACGAGTCCCAGGACTGGCCCCAACTTCCCCAGTACGACTGGCTCCATTGACGATCCTGCCATTGGCCACCGGTCTCCCGGAGCTGCGGAATGGGCTTGCGCGTCACACCGACAACTGCAGGGAGCGGGGTGGCCCGCCCAGGGATCTCGATGTTGGGGATCTCCTCTTCGACGAAGCAGAGCAACTCCACCAAAACCATTTCGGGGTCTCCCACAGACGAGAAATCCCGGGTCCAGCCCATCACGCTGTAGCGGTTGCTCTTGTCAAGGCTTCCGTAAAGTGCAGCAAATTGTTCTGGTTCCAGAAACCTGCCGCCATGCACAACGTAGACGTCCTTCGGGTCGACCTCCTGCACCTCCTCCGTAGGCGGCACCAGCGTTAGCCGTGCGTGATATTTCGGCACAGCCACGCTTCCTTGGATCATTTCCTTGGTTCTCACGAAATTCGGAATGATGCATCGTGCCACTTTCTCGATGAACTCGAGGGCGGACGGCGTCAGGTCTCCCCGCGCGGCAGTGTAGGCGTAAAAGGGGTCATTGATCAGCCTCTCGTAGAGCGTGGTGTACTCCTTGTTGCGAAGAACTGCTTTCTTGGCAATGTCCTTCATGATGCCGAGGCCCCCTCTTGCGCTTCTATCCCCCCGCGCATCCTTTCGCTGCGTCAAGATCTGAGTCTCAACCTGGTCCATGGACAACGGCACGCCCAATGTGTTGGCCATCTCCTGCAACCGGACCACCCTGGCAATCTTCTTGATGTCCGGCATCCGTTCCATCAACTGGCCGCATTGAAAGCAGTTGATAGTGCCAACTGGAATGAGAATCTGGCAGCGATCGCACGCGACATCAGGAATATGCATCACTTCGGCAAACCGCCAGTTTGTGGCCTTCTTCCGGTTGGGGTCGAGCTCCTGCCACAAGCCACTCCGGCCTCGGGTTTCCCCGGGCTGCTGCGTCACAGCACGGGCCCAATTACGGTAGAGGCCGTAGCGAGCCGTCTCGAACTCAAGCATGACTTGCTCGTCCTTCGGAAGATTTTCATCGAAGACATTCTTGACTTTCGTGATGTTGCCGACGCGATGGGGCCGAGTCAAGTCACGGCACGCCGTTGGAGCCCATTGCTTGTAGTAGGCCTTGCATTCCTTCTCGAGGTTGGCCATGAAGGACTCCAGCACCGGGGTACCGACGACGCCTTTCTGGGTCTCTTCTCGGTACTTCTTGATGCTCTCCTGGTAGTTCCGCCTGACGCTGACGTACATCCGGTTGGACCAGATAAACTTGGCACATTCAGCGTCGTAGGCGTAGATGAGGACCTTGTTCGTGATCCAATCCTCCGTCACCAGGGCTTCCCCGTCTCCGGGTGCGTACAGCCGACACCCCAATTGAATCAACATCTCCACATCGACGGCGATGTTGATGGGTCGGTCAGCACGCGCACCCCCCGCCTTCCGGCCATGCCTGTCCCAAGGAGGCACCACCGTTAGGTAGGCGTGACCACGCGAGGTTTGCCGGTCCCCCATGCCGCCCGGAAAGATGCCCATGTAGATGATGTCAAAGAAGTTCTGCATGTTGCACGTGTGGTAGGCGATCTTGGGCAGCGCCTTTCGGCGTGCGTCCGAGAAATCTTTGCAGAAGCCCGGTCGCACACCCTTCTTTGCGTGCTCGATGGAGTAGTTGACATCCATTGCAATGGGATCTCCAGGAATGTTGTCAAAGCCACTGGCCTCAGTCACCCAATCGTTGTGGCCGGTGAACGCGCGAATGCGTAGGGGCATGAAACTGAGCCCGTTCCATTGCTGTCCGGCCGGCGCGTACTCGACATAGACCTCGAACCGATTCGATGTGGACGTGGCCTGAAGCAGAGTGTATTGGGAGCAGTTCCAGTCATATCGGCGCTGGATCCACTTGGCAACGGCTGCATAGTCGAAGGAGTTGTCCTTGAGATTGATCTCAGGGATGGACCGTGTCGCATGTTCGTGGGCATGTCCGCGAACCAAATACGACACCTTCTTGCTCAGGAACCTCCTTCTGCCATAGTTCTGGATCTGGGGAATCTTGATTCCTGAGCACTTGATCCACTCCCTCTTGGGTTCAGCAGCCTGGCCACGGGTCTCCCCGGGCTTTGAAGCAGCTTTGGGAACTGCCTTCGCCTTGGGGATGTTCTCCGGGCCACGGATCTCTCCGGGCTGAGTCTTGCCAGTCCCAGCCACGGGCGCCTGACCGCTGGATGAGGCAGCAGGCATTGGCATCGCCTTTGATTTCACCTTTGGTGTCGCAGCACTGAGAGCTGCAGTCATTTTGTTATGACTTTTCCGTTTGGAAGTGAGGAACAGCTTGATCTGGCCGTCCTCGCCGACATCGTTCGGATCCACTGCGGCAACCTCAACGGCCTGGCCTTTCGGCCGGCTGACCTTGGGCTGAGAGCCCGGGGGCAGGTCAAAGCTGATTAAGTCCTCCTCATCGGACGATGAGGACCAATCAATAACGTCATTGAGGCCGCTGACGGTCGCCGCGTGGATGTCGGGCTGCATCATTTGCAAAATCTTCGCCTCTTCCTTGACCGTATCGAGAGGATAAAGAGGATTCGCTTCCTTCTCGGCTTCCAGGAACAGTTCGCGCTTCGGCTCTTGCGCAGCAATCTCATTGATTGCTTCAAGCTCCCTCTCGCGGACCTCGTTGTCGAACGGGTCCTCGGGGTTCTTCGCAACAGCCGGACCGCCAGTTTCCTGGGGTGTGGCACCGACGATGGGAATAGATGTGTCGATGTTCATGTATTCCCTTTCGAGGAGGTACCAGTTCATAGCCCCTGCGAAGCGGTTGATTTGGCCGATGCAGTGCCCGAGCTTCGCGGCGGCCACATAGAAGTTGATGTAATGTTTTCTGTTGCGCTCGGTGTCATCGGTGTGGATGCGGTCTGCCCGGGACGTGTTGGATATGAGAGTCTGGGGGTCGAGGACGGTGATTCCCACGGAACCGTGCAACAGACGTGCATGACCGTCCATTTGAGTCTTGTAAGATTCGCTCAATCCGTACGTCTCAAAGTCCCGGGGTACGATGAGCACGACCTGAATCACGTCCTCCCGATAAGCAATATGCCGCAGCCGGTCACGGACAGTCATCACTGCGCGGGCGTTCCGTTCGATGATGTCCATCGCAGCCTTGCGCTTTGCCTCGGAGTCAGTGGCCCAGCCCGCTAGGGCGGCGGGGTTTTCGATGTACCCGTTGCGCCCAATGACATCATTTCCAGACCAGGAGATCACGATGACGTACGGCCGGGGCTCGGGCCTTTCGGCG